CGACGTGATTTTTTTTTATTTATTTTTTTTTTTTATAATAAGAATAATAATTATTATCGTGATGTATAACAAAAAGTATATTATGTACTCCACGAAATTGAACGGGGCGTATTTAACCGTATTCTTTAATATTATTAGATGACCTATTTTTCTACAAAATTATTTTTCGTTATCTACACTATCACTATCACCTGTCGTGTTCGGCCATTAGTGCGTACAAACTACAAACAGTATACAGTAGAAAGCCTAGATAATAAGAGAGTGGCCATTTGAATAAAAGCAGCCATTTTTGTCCACAATTTTCCCGTCTTTTTATGATTGAATATAAATTCTTATGAAATAATTATATTTTGAACATAAATATATTTACCTCAACTGAAAATGTTAGTTTTAGAGATTTTATTAAAAACTATTTATTTATTTGTTTTTTTGCGTAAAAAATAATGATAATTATTTATTATACTTATATTTATTATTTATTATGTTTATAATACTTATTTCTCATTTACATTATGTAAATTAAGTATATAAACTATAAAATATGACTAATATTTGTATAAACTGTTAAACTCCAATATGAAAAAGACAAACGTGCAGCACGGACCCATAATGGGTAGGTCACTGTTGTAGATGAGAAGTTGTGAAGGTAAGATATACAGGGAGAATTATTGATATCTGCAAGCAACGATAAACCATTACGTACGAAAAATAATTTGGAGTGATGTTCTGTTATGCATATTTTAAAAAGTCATAATATTATAGTAGTCTAACAATTTTATCCACCGAATCCTAACCACCGATTTTGGCATCCAAATGCACAGCAACCAATCATTATCATATGATTTATTATGTAAAATGTATTTTAAAATATTTATTTAAATAATTTATAAGAAAATTAAGAAAAATGTATATAGAAAATGAGTTAATTATACACAACAGTATACACAATTACTATACTCAATCAAATTATTTGGATGAAAAATGGCGTTCTTGAGCTATGATAACAGCCGACCAATAGAAAACGTCCACTGAGTTGGCCACTCTCTGGTGTACAGTATACTATAGCTATTTAGGCGTTTTTTTTCCACCACAGGTATATAATACCCTCATCCTCATGGTCACCCCTCCTCATGATGGCTTGATCACACTCCTGCATTTACTAAAGTGGTCATACCCAAAGCCGGGTAGTATTTCATATTGAATTTTCAAAAACAGTTTTTTTTTGATGAGATGTAAATAATGAGAGTAAATAACTTTTCGAAAAGTAATCTTGATCTAATTTATGCAGTATAGCAGAGGTGGCCAAACTTTTTTTGATAGATCTATTAAGAATATATTTTTCTCTTGGGGATCGACTTCCTAACAAAAATTTATAATTATAAATTACCTAATAGGTATTAATAATAAACGTACAAGTACAAATAATAAGCCTATTATAATATCTAGTGAAATAATGTTTTTCATCACACTATTATTAGCACTCATGTAATATTATTATAAATTCAATTGCCAGTACAAACGCTGTTGAATTGTATTACTTGATAAATTCATAACAAAACTATAATAGTATAAAAAATGAACAGCACTTAAAATTTATTTATTAATTACATACAAATAAATTCTAACAAAAGGGAGATCGACTTTTAAATTGTTTAGCCGCCCATGCAGTATAGGATCATTTTTTAAAGGAGGTGTCATTTTCCAGGAGATTTTCGAAATAATTCGGAAAAACTCTAAATAAAATTATAGATATACAGGAAATATTTACGACACGCCGTGGTGTTACCGGTTTCATTGCTTTTCATTTTTGCAACTCATGTTTTCTGTTGGGCCTATTGCTCCAATTTAAAAATGATAAGAGATTGATTTTGTACCTTTTATTTTTTTTAACGTATAGTCATAAAGAAAGAAATTCGATTTTTCATATTATCCATAGAATTTTTCATAATAACTGGGAAAAACCGAAAAATACGATTTTCTTGGAATTATGGCGCAACGATTTCATTATTTTAAATTTGTGCGGTATATGTTTTCTACAGCAATATTGCTCCGATAAAAAAACGATAAGTGACCATTTTTTTTGCAATTTTAATCTAGTTCGTGAGTAAGAAATTCATTTATTTGGTAATTTTTGTAATAATTTAGAAAACCCAGAAAATTACGAAAAATAAGAACTGATAAATTGACGGTGCTAAGATTCCCTTATTTAAAATTTTTTTTATGTATTTCAGTTAAATTTGTATTTAGAGACTCGACATTTTTACAAAAATTTAAATTTGCTTTTTCTAGACGTGGTAAAACTTTCAAAACATTTGAGCCATTTTTTAAACATTTTAATTTTACAAATTTTTCGTAATTTTTATTTGAAAAGTGCTCTGTGTGTAACATTGTTAGACTAAACAGAAACACTTGAACTTATGACAGAAGGTATATTATAAATCGTACTTGGTGGTAAAAATAAATTAATTGTTATGTAGTATATTTTTTTTATAAGAATTTTAAAATCAAATTTTGACGAAAATTTTATTTTACAGCCTTTCAAAGCATGTATAACTGAATTTCGCTAAGAATCGTTTTTCGTTAGTAATGTGTTATGACCTAAAATGTTTTATTGTTGGGTTTCATGTATTATTCAAATAACTTTATATATACCACCTTCCCAACTACCCACCTATAACAGAGGCCATATCCATCTCCAGTATTAGCGCTTAGAGTCTGTTCTATTAGATTCTGAGTGGAACGAAGAAGCTTATGTTTTTACAATGATGGTTTTTTTTTTCTGTGGGATAAGTTTTCTACCAGCAATATTAATCCGATTTATAATCATAACACTTTTTCTGAAAGGAAATCTGATCGGGGTGGTACTTTAAGGAGGTCATTTTTTAATTTTCTCAGGAATTTTCCCAATAAATGAGAAAAACATGGTAATAACCGGGAAAAAATGGGAAAATGTGTACAATATAAAACAAATATTATTTAAGAAAATGTTGTATGCATATTTTGTAATTATTTTACTAAAATATGATGTATATATTGTTGACAAAGAAACACTATTAATCGAACTCTGCTCGGTATCGTTTTTTCATTAGCAATAGTTAATCGCTGCGTGAAGATGTACATTCAATTTTACCTATACCTCTTTAACTTGAGAAGTTAGCACCTTCCAGGTGTATTTATAGACAAATATTTCAGGGGGGCTTAAGGTTTTACACTTGCATACTCTAAAGCTGCGTCTACACCTAACGAACAATTTAAAAACGTTTGTTTGATATAGACGTGTTTCCAAACCAATTTTTTTGTCAATAATCCAAACAAAAATGTTCGCTTATCAAGCGAAAATTTTGCATGCATAAACATGAAATACTGTACTTGTATTTATACTTGTAATACCGATGTATCTCTATTTAAATAATTTCAAATTTACTTATAAGTAACTAAAATAGTTTTAAATGATAATATTTATTGAAAAATGTATTAAGTATAAAATATATTTGAATATGATATTATTATCATGAAGTATCAATACGTGACAAACTGTGATGTAATATAAATAAATAATAAGGATGATATGAATCACCAGTAGCTAAAAATTGTATAATTATTGCTAAACGCACTGACACAGAAATACTTTCATGAAAATGTGTGTTTTCTTCGGGGTTTTTGGGCCAATTAAATTAATTTAAAACTCAAAATCAATACTTGACATTCTGGTAAAATTACTAAATAAATCACCATCATGTAAATCTAAAATTAAATTTTCACCACTGTAAGTCTTACTTCGCTGAAAAAATTGTCTTTCCCACCACCTTCTTTTTTTTTTTTTTTTTTTTTTTTTTTTTTCTTATGTTTTATTACAAATTAGAACAAATGCAGCAGCGCCAATGAAGAATGCAATTTGTTCGAAATCTGACATAATCACGACTGTTGGTAAACATATAGCGAACAACTAAATTATGAATAAACGTTTGTTGTCATGATAAAATGTTTGACAAATGTTTGACGATGTTTGAAAAAAAAATATTTCCTCAAACGCTTGTTAGGTGTGGACGTAGCTCTATAACAAAAGAGTTTACATACTTTCAACTGTAGTATTATTATTGCTTACAGATATACATTAAATTCCCGTCTATATCCTACCTTCTCACCTACAACAGTGACTGCACTTGTCCCCGTTATCTTAGAACAGCTTTTAATTTGTAGTTTATTATTTTGCATTCATTGAATAATGTGTCCAAATACATCATCATCGGGTCACGGTTGCTTTTCATCATTAAAAAAAAAAAAAAAGTCCATAACAAATAACGACCGATTATTGAATATACCACACGATCCGGGTAAATTATCAAATTTATTTATGTTCAAAATTGTATGCTACAGTACTGTACTATACGGAACCGAGAAAGATATTTATATAATCTTTTATAATAACAATAACAATAATAATAAAGTAATAACGATTTATATAAAGAATTGCTATCGGGTCGACAGCCCACCTTATCGAGCTGTTCCTATCGGTAGTTTGTGCAACCCTGCATTTAATTTGTTGCCCGTCTGTTGTACGTTTCGGAAATAAATTGTATTTGGTCGCGGTTTTTCTAGAGATTTTGCCCGTCGCGGGGCCTAACCCTCGGCGATGCGATATATGTGAGGATCTTTCAGCAGGTTTCAGTAGGTATTGCGTATTAACTTTAGTAACGCCATTCTCTACCCTCTCCCCGAAGAGCGGGGCTCAAGCGAACATTGTAGTAACGTACTAACGTCTCTGTCGCAGGCCACGTGACACGTGTCGCACGCCCGTCTCGCCGTCGTCGTCGTCAGTACCAGTTACACGACGAGTTGACGTTTGCGTGCGGCCAGCATATTATTATTATTATTATTATTATTATATTTACGTTCGAAACGTCGTTTTATCGATTATATTTTTTTTTTTTTTTTTACTCTACTCCTTGTAGATACGAAATTACGTGCAAACGGCGCGCGCGCGTCGTCTAGTGTGCTGTACACTGTTTGCGCGGACGGTGCACCGCCGCGGCGTGACGCACGACAAACGCGTTCGGGGCGCTATCGTCGCGCGGCCAGACAAACTTCCGCCGAATATTATCGGAACGACAACACCGCCGGCCGTTTAAATATAGCCGCGGACGCGACACGACGACCTAGGAAGATTGATTCCTCCGCACGTCATTATCGAGCCATCGAACGCGTCGGCACTTCACTCGCCTGCACAATGGACGCGTGTTTTAGCGCCTTCGACAAAGACGGGTAATAATTGCCAATCGCATCTTATTTCGTTTCTCCCTGTAATTTTCGTTTTCACCGTTGCCCTGCCCGCGGTTTCCGTTTTACGCTGTTAACAATAACGATTGTCTTTCGTGTTATTTTTTTTTCACCGCGGAATAAGTGGCCCAGATGTTATTCCGATATATTTTTAGAATCTGAAAATTCCCAGAACGTATTTTACCGCACATAATCGTCGTGTTTTGAGATCTGCGATCGTCGACACGTGTTGTCCGTGTCCGTTTAATTTGCGTCGTTCGCAGTGTTTACCATTTAATATTAAGATTAGATTAGTTAGATTAAGAACGTGCTACGTGCATTCCAATGAGAAAGTTACACATTATGCGTGTTTTGTTTTTAGGATACCCACTGTAAAATTTACAACTTATTGTTGAGGTGGATACACACTTGAACATTTCGGCGTAATGCAAACGCTGTAATGCAGTAACGTGTGTTTGTGTTTGTGCTCGTGTTCGCGCTCGTGTTCACTATTCGTATATTACCTCGATCACAAAACCGAATGTATTGTACGCTATAAATCCATCACTTTGTTCACCAAACGTCCGAGTGAATGTGCGTAACGTATCATCAAAATGTCTAATTTAAAAGTTAGTGCTGTTTTCATTTTAATGTATAGTGTTATCGACAAAAATAAAAAAAAACAAAGGCGAAGGTCTACTCGAGTCTTCATCCTTAAGGGTCATTTAAAAGAAATTTTAAACCAGTGGAGCGACCACGTCCGAATGATACAGTGAAGGTCGATTCCCACATATTAGTGACGTGATAGTACCGTAGCCGGAAGTGTTCAGTGTCATCCGTGATCCATTTTTCACAGTCATCCTCACAGTACCTTTCCGTCATTCCGTGTCGGTGCTCTCCCGTGATCAGTGATCTCTTAGAAGGCAAAAAGTAAAAACGCAGTTTTGACGAGAGTTTTTTTGTGTTGTAAAATATTTGCGTCATGAATGATCAAAAAATACGTTTTGGCTCAGTCTAAAATATTCATAAAATTCTACTATTCAAGAGTTTGCAGGAGCAAGACGCATTGGACTTTGACTTTTCGTCATGTTGTCAAAAATCATAGAGAAATAAGATTTAAAAAAAAAAAAAAATGATGATCGAAATCGACGCGTGAGATATTTTCCCGTAAAGCGTGTTTTTGAGCAGAATAACAGGTCGCGTGTAATTTAGATTTACTAAGCAAGGCCGGATTTTAGTTGTTATAATATAATATATGGACGAGCTGTACCGAGAAAAACTCGATGGGCCGCTTATAAGTACATTTCGTTCAAAAAGTTTTATCGAGATTCCCAACAGGTTTTTCTAAAAAAACCGACAACAAATGGCAATAATATACTGATTCAGCCAGATGTATACTCGATTTGGATTTTCAAATAGTTTCAATTTTTAATTTCACACTGAAAAATTTCGCATTTTTCGTTTTAATTTCTGTTGGTGCTCTTTCAGTGAAATCGTCCGACCTTCAATTTAACCAGTTTGCCAGTTCAGGTTTCAAAATCATTTTTTTGTTTGCAACGATTTTTACATCGTTTTTTTTGAGTACCCCTATAAACTAAATTATTTGCACTTTTTTTTTTCATAATAATAATATTTAGAACCGGGTATTGATTACTTGTTCCTACTGCATAGGTAATAATAATATTATAATAATAAATGTTGTTGTTGTGCCAACGGTTGAAATCGATATACGATATCTCGCTGCATTGTCGCGGGTTTCGGTGCCGTGTCGACCACAGTAATTTGTTCCAGACGAAAATAATTTTTTACCGGATTATAATAATTACTACGTGATTATTCGGCGAGAAGGACACTGCGAGTACCTAAATAGGTTTCACCTACGTTATTTTTATTCCTCAAATTTTATATACGTACGTGTTGTATGGCCAGTTGCGAAAATGGGTTACACTCGCATTTTTACCGATGGGTGTCTAATAATTAAGAAATCCTATGTATTGTGTACAACTTAAACGATTATAGTTGCAGCGATATCATCACCATAGGGGTACACACCTGTATAATACAATATTATGAATACCTCACTACTTATAACCTCTCTACTTCTCTCTACACGAACACGTCCGAATCAACTTCTGACAACTGCTGCAGCTAGTGACGATCGATCGTTTTTGTTCGATAGAATTGCTCTTTTAAATCGTCAAACATATTATTATTAATTATTATAGTATATTATACCGTCTATACCATTGAATTACAATTTTGTTTTATGCTCGGGAAACGAAAAGTACTGACTATTCGTCGCGACCGCCCTAAGGTGTCTACAACTATGTAGACACATGCATGGGCGGAAGGTTCTTCATTGGGGGGAAGTCAAGGAGGAGACATTTATATTATACATTTATACATAAAATATTAAAATGTATATAAATACTTTGAAAAAGAAAGGTAAGATAATGGGGACGGGTGCAGCCACTGGTGTAGGTGGAAAGTTAAGAAGGTATGATATAAACGGGAATTTAATGTATATCTAAAAGCAACGATAAACCATTGATTACGAAAAAAACGAGATTCTGAGCGGAATTCAGTTGATAGTGATGCTTTGTCAACAATATACATATCATTTTGTAGTAAAACAATTAAATAGGCTTTATATATTTTCTTTAATAAAATTTGTTTAATTTAGTCCAAATTTTTCCAGTTTTCCTACATTTTTCTCGGTTTTCTCATGTTTTATTCCGGTTTCATTTGCTGGGAAAACTCTTGGGAAAATCGAAAAATGACCTATCTAATGTACCTCCCTAGTGAAATTTCCTTTTAAATACTTTTCTATCATTAAAAGTTGGAGCGAAATTGCTGGTTGAAAAGTTGTGCACAGAAAAAAAGGAAGGCCGTAATATATTTTAACTAATACCTACATTTTTTATATTTTCCCGTTTTTTTTAATTTTTCAAATTTGATGAGAAAACTCTTGAAAAAATTAAAAAATGGCCTCCCTAAAAGTACCTCTCCACGCCGATTTTCTTTAAGAAAAAACACTATACGTAGAAATCCGAGCAAATCTTCTGGTAGAAAAGTTGTGCACCGATAAAAATAAAATCTTTGTAATACTATAAGCTTCTTCGCTCTACTCAGAATCTAAAATCGATGATTATATATTATGGTATAGGATTATTTTCAATAGTGGTTATTGACGACATAATTGGAAAATCAAAATAACATGGGCGATTTTACGAATTAGCAGAATCATTGATTGATAAATAATATTATAATTAATGTATAAGAGTATACGATTAGATATTATTTGTTATCTACACATCATATTGACATAATATTATAGTATATTTAATCTATTATGCTGTTCGATATTGAATCCGGCTTTGGGATTGTTAACTAAATGTAACACAATTAAACGTTAATCGTTCAACAGTTTGTTAAAGACAAAGACAAGATAATAAACTATCAGCATACGCAGTGTCTTTATTCGTTGTTTAATTTTAATTGACGTGATTTGTATTAATTGACATGAAGTGAGGTTCAGTTTCAATTTATTAGAAATTAAACTACATACCCTATTCTTAGTTTAATAAATAATTATATAGTTATGATTAATACTATTGTATAGGAAAGAGGAATATCGTCTTATAATATTATGCTACGTAAACTTACATATAGCAGTTAATAGATTAACAGGAAGGTAAATATTTTTGAAAAAATACAATGTCCCAACCCAGAATTTTCGACGGTGAACGCTCTTGACTACTTAACGAAATAAATTATTTTTTCTGCCTGTCTCGCGCGTTATACTCGTATGTAGCGGCAAATGCTACTTTCGCGATTGCGACTCTGAGTTCCGGGTAAAGGGACCTATTATTATAATCATTTTTGAATAAGTGCAGATTAAAGGTTAAAATTAAGACAGTTAATTTAAATTAAAACATTCATAGTATATTGATAAAAATTCCCTAGTAAATGCTGTTCTTTATTAAGCGAAAGTTTACTATGATGTGTGTTTTTTTTTTCTATTTGTAAATAACTTTTTGAGAAGAAAACTTGCTTTGCAATATTAAATGCAGTTTTCTGAAAATTTGATCTAGTTGATGCATTAGAGAGATCATTTATCGATTTTCAAAATATTTGGAATATCTGGAAACAAAATTATAATTGAAACGGCAAATATTTATGGCACACTTCGGCGTTGCCAATCTCATTGTTTTTAATTTTTACAAACTATGTTTTATATCAGAAATGATGATTTAATCAAAAAAATGCCAAGAGACCTTTTTGTTGCATGTTTAATGTAGTTAGTGAGTAAGTATTTTGTTTTTTTTATTTTCCAAATTGTTTTCATAGTTTGAGTACTATGTGAATATCATTGTTTAACCTACCAGAAATTCTTGGAAATTTAATAAAATTTAAAAGTTCATTAAGTACTTAGTGGTAAAAAAAAAAAGACTAATGCGGTTATTTTTTTTTATAATTGAGGATCAAATTTTAAAGAAAATCCCAAATATTTTACTGCCTTATAAATCATGTATAAACGAACTTCACTCAGAATCGTTTTTCGTTAGCAATGGTTTATCGTTGCTCACAAATATAAACTAAATAACTATGTTTCTTACCTTCCTAACTTTCCACTTACAACAGTAGACCTATCAGTAGTATTAGCTCCTTTCATAATTAATGTAGGTATGTTATAACTTACACTATAACCATATTTTAATAATTACTACTATTTAAACATGTATTTTCTTTTCATTCTTTAAGGTCAAATTTCGAATAAATCCTTTCTTAACGGTTGTTTATAATTTTTATAAGAAAATCCTACACAAAAATGTTAAGTTTCTAGACCCAGTGGTTTCAGCTATATATTTTTCTATCCCGCACGACGTAGCCCATGCACATTGAATAAAAAAAAAAAAAAAAAGAAAAAAAAAACGTGTTTTCATGATTTCACCCCGTACGTTTCACAGTTTATCGTTGTTGCGCAGTTATTTATTTATTTACTTTTTTTTAAGGGTATTATTTATCCTTTGACAACCGAATTAACTAATAATAACTTTTTTGTATATCCATGTTGCCAAAGTAACTTATAAATCAACAAAATTAATTGGGTTTTCGTTCCAATATTATAAAAAACCCTACAACAGCCACCCTTTAATTAGTAAATATCCTTTGTGTTATTATAGAACATGTTCTAACTATGCGCTAAATTTCATCAAAATCCGTTCAGTCATTTTGGTGCGATTATGTTACAAATATATAAAATAATTTACAATAGTGAATTGTATAAAGTTTCGTATAGTAGGTGTGTACTTCCTGTGCACTTATAAATAATGGATTTAATATGTATTGTACAACTAACTGGCTTTATGTTTTTTTTAGCTTTGTTGTTATTTAGGTTATAAAATAATATTATTTAAATGTATTTTTTTAAAAATCGCTATGCATCATACTTCCAACAATTTAATTTCAATTAGTAACAATTATTTATGCATCACGGTACGCCTACGGGTATGACTCACTCATTTGTCCTGTTTTTCCTGTAAAATCACGTGAATGTAGAGTACTACAGCTACGTAATTTGATTTTTCTTTTTCTTTTTATTCAAAATAAGGCTTCAATAGCAAAGATAATTAGCCATTAGACATTACATATTACAAATTTTAGGAGCTAGGTTTAGAAATTGCTGTATCACATATTACATATTTTATAGGTTAAGTTAGATTTCAATTTACTATAATTTGTGAATGCAATGATTTTCGAAATTTGACTTTCATCAAGTTTTTCAATTATGTTGGGTGGTATGTTTAAGTCTGTGCGTATTAAAGTTTATTGTGTGCACTCCTTCATTATATATTTGATAGTTAGTGAGTGCTTTGTAACATGTATTACATTTAGATTGAGGCTCTTTACTAATTAAGTATGAGTGTGTGCCAGAGGAGGTCCATTTCTGATTTGGGTGATTGATATAATATTTTCGAGTTTATTATTCGGTTGGTACTGAATTCCAATGATTTTTCTATTATAAGAGGATTTGGTTTTTAGTTAAAAAATTGTATATCACTAGTGAGTATGTTATTTATTGTGGAGTTGGAATATTCTTCGTTTCAAAGTTGGCATACCATATTTGTCTACTACGTTTCCAGCAATACCGGTGTGGGAATACGGTGTTTTATTTTTGTTCGGATTAATGTTACCCGAGTGTTTGAAGGTAATTTTATGTTTTGAAGATGGACTTTTAAGTGCTAATAAGATACTTAGGGAGTCATTGATTATTAGTATGTCGTTTGATTCCAGAAAGTTAGCAAGTTTTATCCCTTCATATATAGTTTGATTATTTTCTTGTGTATATATATAGGGGTAAATTGTATTGTAATTCAGTTAAACATATTCATAGAGACTTGAAATTTTAACAAAAAACATATATTTGCTTTTCCTGGACGTGGTCAAAACTTTTTTTGGACATTTTTGGATTGTTTAGAAGTATTTAATATTTGTGAGTTTTTATTTGGTAAGTTGTATTTGGAATTTAGATATAATTTTTTTATCAATGAAATGGTCAGAAATGCTTGAAAATTGTACAAGAAGTTCGTTATAAGTTGTACTCGGTAAAAAATAAAAAATAAGTATATAGTGTAATGTAGTATTTTTTTTTTTTAAATGGTTTTAAGATAAAATCATAAATATTATGGCCTTTTAAATCATCCCACACAGCATGGAATAATAATAATATATGTTAATATTTATAATATGATTCATATACCTAGATGATACGAGAAAAACTATATAGTTATTGTACAATTTTCAACACAATATTTAATGTAATTTAATATTTGTCTTAATAAAATAAATTTCCATTATTATAGATACATAATGAATAATATAAAGGCATATAACTTTATGTACTACAAGCATATAAACAAAAAGACAGACATACGCTTCGCACGAGGGGTGGGCCACTGTATAGATGAGAAGTTAGAAAGATGGGATATAGAGGGGAATTTAATTTATATCAGCTATACGCAACTATAAACCACTGTTAACGAAAAACGATTCGAAACGAAGTTTCTTTTATATATATACGTACATTTTCCCGTTTTTTTCCCAAATATGAAAACTATGTATCTTACCTGATCTTACGTTTTTTTTTTTTTTTGGCATTTTAGATTCTAGAAGCGATGTTAGGAATTTATTGGTTTTAATATATTTTTGTGTGTGTTTACGGTCTGTGAACAACTTATTCACCAAAAATCTTACTCCGATCTTCAAGAATAGCATCTTTTTTTAAATCAGACTTTGTCCAGTTGGTATATTGAGGGGGTATAACGTGAACATTTACTCAATAACGGTTACGTATTATTTATGTGATTCGGTAAAAAATCGTAAAAACCTGAAATTTTCATTAAACATTTATATTAGCCTTTTCTAGAATTGGTCAAATTTTCAAAATATTCTGCTAAGTTGTTGAACCATTTATAGGCATTACCGAGATCAATAATACAAATAATAAAAATTAATATTATTATTACATGATCATTTTGAACATTAAATAATATTAATACAGCATATTATTGTTTTCGTATAAGAACAATATGTATAATTAAATATTATATTATTTTATAGCATATTTATTCGTCTTTAAATACACTAGATAAGTATAGACATTTATTGAACCTTGAAGGGTATTGATTTTACATATTGTATAGGTGCCTAATTTCTTGGCAACAGCTAGGCTAAAAAAACTTTTCCATGTAGTCGTAGGTGATAATCGATGATTACTGAGCATCCTATATATATTACGTTCAAGGTGGTATAAAACAAACAATTTAGTTTTATTATTCGTGATTCAATTATGACGGGGTGATTTACGAAAAAAGTAAAAACGCCGTTGTTGTTTTAGGATAGACTTTAAACAAGGTTCTATATTAATCGTATTATATCATCGAACAAACACTTTGACGCGTGCATTTTTGTATTTTGTTTTAAATTTTTGCATGCATTCAAAATAATTCGAGTACGTATAATAAATGTCGGTAAACTCTTAAGTCTCTAATACTTAATTGAATGTATTAATAACTATCTACTAAGTACTGGTATTTCCTAATATCATCTAAAAAAGGGTATGCCATGCTATGCATAACCCGATAAAATAAAGTAGAAATTTATGGACGTTGGTTTGAGTTAAGTATTCATTAGGCTCTTTCCCCTCAAGTTTTGTCAATTCTGCCGCTATGTAAATGTTCCTCGAGTCCCTCGTAGAAGCGGGTGGAATGCATTTTCGTATTTTCGTTTTAGTTTAATTCGGTAACATGGTTTGCAAAAATTTTAAATGACATGGGGTCTGATATTAAAACCCGACATGGCGTGCGGTGGTGAGACGTATTGCGGTTGTAGTTTTGGAAAAAAAAAACAAATATGTTTGCTTAATACTAAAAAGCATATTATACCTAATTAAATTTTATTAATATACATCTGTATTGAAACACATTTTTTTTGTCATTTGTTTCTGGAAGTCAAAAATGTTGACATCAAAATTTATTTATAATAGCACTCCGTCTTTTTATACAATTTATAATGTAGGTTCTCATTTGAGAAACCAAAGTTGGCATCACCACAGGTTGTTGTGAGATATTTAAATATTCGAAAATATCGACTTTAACTACCACTTAAGAATTCGAAAATTCAGAATTTGAATATTTGCAAAATTTAACCAATTAAATAGGGTGAGCGCGCTTAGTGAATCACACTGTATAGGTATATTGCAGAAAGATAAAACTGTATGTATTATTGTGATTTAATTTTAAAAATCATGTATATTTCAATATCAGACGTATTTGTTAATTTTATGTAACTGTGCATACAAATTTTTAGAGCAGCGTTTTTTAATTATTCGATTGAAAAAAAAACATGGATAGGATAATTATCGTAATAAAGATAATCAGATAAAATCGTAATAATTGTTTATTATAATTTTTAAAAATGACTTGAAGTCAGTGTTTCCAAACATAGAAATAATTTTGAGGATTTATATTTCAACACTTGCCACTAACTGTACTGCGGAAAAATCATTTTCTTCTTTAAAGCGGATAAAAACTTTATTTGCGTTCAAAATTAGGACAAGTAAAAATTAAACTCTGGCGGTTTTGTCGGTTGAAAGTGGAATTACACATGAAATACAATTTGAAGACATAATTCAAACTTTCGCAGAAAGAAAGCAAGATGCAAATAAATGAAATATTTTTTTATTTTTTTCTCATTTGCTATATATTTTATAATAATAATAAGTACATACTCATTTTTAAATTTGATTATTATTTGCTATTTTTTTTTTTTAATAATATAATTTAAATTTGATTGAACACATTAGTTTGTTTAATGAACCTATGAATCTAATTATATCTATAAAATAATTATATTTAATTGGTAGGGTAAATTTATTTGAAAACATAATGATAGATTATATTTTAATAAATATTGTATTAGTATACTATTTCCTTGATTAGACCAGTTTATGGATATAACTAGTAATTATTGTTTAGTATCATTCTATCTTATTTTTTCGAACCTATATATATATATATGATTTATTCTTTTTAGTAGTTATGTTAAATAAGTATTTAAAAATACGTTTTCTCATTGATAAGTTTAATGGGGTGACAAAATAAAATTTGCCCAGGGGCGGCAATTGTGTAAATCCGTCTCTGGTCTTGACATTCTCACTTTTGAAAATTTGTTTTTATTATTATTATTCATAGTCTTTTGGGGTTTAAAAATCTGATAGATCTGGTTTTAGATATTTTGTTTACCTATCCGTAAACTTTGCAACTATTGTCGAGAATATTTTTATTTAGGTTCAAAAAACGATTATGTGTTATTATTATTATCAGTTATTCTTTTTTATGGTTTGTACGTGTATAACCTTATTTCTATATATTTCTGTATATGTATTATATTTTTATGTAGCAAGATCGTTGACATTAAATTTAGTTTAAAAGTTATTTTATATCTCCGTTTATTAAATTATTTTATGAATCTGTACAACATTATTGATGTATCATTTTCTGAATTAATTACTCGATCGTTTACCTTAAATTAGGTGTACAATAAAAACTAAGTAGGTAGTATATTTTAGTTTTGCCTATTATACTGGTTCCAAATTTAATTCAGTATAATAAATAGTTTTTAAAAAAAAAAAACAATATTAAAATGTTAAAACGTTTATTACGAATACCATATAATTTATTGGCGTTTTTTTTCGTCTTAAACTACCCATAATAGTAAAATTGGTTCTTAGATTTTGTGCAAACATTTTAAAGTTCGGGGTATACATAGTAAATTTGGCACATAACTGTAAAATATTTATTGTTCTGAAAATTCATTTTCAACTTTTATACATAACGCGGTTATATGTGAACATCTAACGTTAAACCTAGCTCGTGTATTTCATTCTACGCACACTGTTGTCATTTGAACACTCCAAAGCACATAATTTACAATTAGGCTATTCTTCAAAATCTAAAATCAACCATACAAATTTCTAACCAAGTCGGTACTATTGTTGGTATTTAAACACCTAATAAATTGTAATAATAAGGCAAACAATAATATTTTTTCGTGTAATATTTCTTTTATAACTATTTTAAATATATATTTGATTATTTTAATGTCCGCATACATTTATTGAAACATAATAATTTCGTAATACACACTACTTATATGTTATTGTAAGTATTTACCAAATATCGTCGAAGGGCGTCCGCTTTCAAACGAAAAATTCCACAAATTTGGAATTAACATTATATTGAATTTTTATACTAGGAGTTAGGACGTTTAGTACACCTGGTATATAACCATATTGTATTATTTGAAAATAACGCCAATATTCTTTACAACTAAACTATATCTTTCGTATTACAGCGATGGTTATCTAAACATCGAAGAGTTCGACGGCATTTGCAAAGGACTTTTCCGGAACGACCGCGGAATCGTGTATAGTCTCGACGAGCACACGCTCAAACACATATTTAATATATTCGATACGAAAAAAGTTAGTATTTGTATTATTAATAGGTCAAATTTCGGGGTGGTAATTATCATATTTTTTTTTTTTTTAAATCGGTTTTAATATTTTTCAAATTCCAGGATGGCCTGATTGATAGACAAGAATTCACAACCTGTTGGAACAAATGGATCAAAACGGTACATCAATACAAAAATGATACAATTTAATCAAAAAATATATAATATATAACCCATATTACTATTTGGTTCGAAACTTATTGCACTTAAAATCCATAAATTATTTATTAAGCCGTGTAAAAAGCCCATAAAAAAATATTTAAATGCAAAAATTGTTGAAGGGCTTAAAATTTCCCTCTATTAGCTATTCGTTAGACTAACTTATTAAATACAATTCTGTAACTCCTCAAATTTATTACCACGAAGTAATTTTTTTAGTGTTAGAAAATTGTATTTAATAAGTTAGAACTGTTAAGTGGAGGAGTTTTTAACACTACTACCCTTTTTGCCTTTTTCAAATATTTTTTATGTGCTTTTCAGAAGTTTTTAAGTAATATAGCATCTGTGCTAGAGCTTAATTTACGTATTTGTTCAGTCCGTTAAAAACATCCATTGTATTGATTATTAATTTACAGATCATTAGACCCGTCAACATATTCCTCATTATCGATGTTCAAAACGATTTCATATCCGGTTCATTAAACATAAGCAATTGTTCAGCACAACAAAACGGCTTGGAGGTAAGAATAATGGAATTCACGCATAAAAATGCTGTCCTAGGATATTGGGGACGGGCTCAACCAACCACTGTTGTTGGTGAAAAGTTGAAAAGGTAGGATACAGAAGGGAATTTAATACATATATATAACGATAATCCGTTGCTAACGGAAAAATGACTCTGAGTGGAGTTCAATGGAATCAATTAAGTGATCTTTTGTCAATAATATATATGTCATATTATGATAAAATAATTTAATAAGCATTATACATTTTCTTTAATAATATTTGTTTAATATTGTACCATTTGTCCTAATTTTCCCATGTTTATCCCGGTTTTCACATTTGCTAAGACAAGTGCTATAATTGTAAATCTGAGCAAAATTGCTGGTAAAATAGTTGTTCACAGGAAAAATGAAGGCCATAGTTTTTTTTTACTAATGCATTTCGTACATTTTCCCTTTTTAACTCTGTTTATTTTCGATTTTTCGCTTTTGTTGAGAATATTCCAGAGAAAATTTAAAAATGACCTCCTTAAAGTACCTCCCCACACCAATTTCCTTTTAGTAAACGTGCTACACTTAAAAATCGGAGCAAGATTTCTGGTAAAAAAGTTGTCTGAAGATAAAAAAAAAAATAAACATCTATGTAAAACCATAAGCTTAGTCGCTCCACTTTATAATATTATTAAATTTGTATTTGTTTTAAATGATATATTTCGATCAGTTTATTTGGCGTTATTATTCTCGCATAGACTACGGTGATCATTAGCAACGAGGATACTATTGAATGAACATTAGTTGAAATGTTGTATAGGTAATTAAATATTATAGTGAACGGATTTCAAAACTAGCATCTGCAGATCATTTAAATGAATATATTTTCTTATTTACATGTTTAACCGAACACCACTGTTACAGAATTGCATGCGGAAATTATAATATAGATTGAGTTGTGTGTGCTGTTTTTTTTTTTTTAATTTAAGATTCTATGAACAAATTTTCTCTTGGAAATACTAATAATTTTTGATTATTTTTTTCACGTATTCAGGTCATCGAGCCCATAAACCATTTGTTGGACACTGTAAATTTCGATTCTGTGTTTTATTCATACGATTGGCACCCGACCGATCATATATCGTTTATTGAAAATCTGTCACTGCGTCCCGTGGACCCATCGTCGCCGGTAAAAAAAAGAAGAATCACTCAAATGTTATAGGTAACACTATTAATAATAGGTATATTGTGTGGCTCGTCTTTCAGATAAAAGCAGATAACGCACAACTGTACGACACAGTTGTGTTTGAAGGATCTCCGAAGATAAAACAGCGTCTGTGGCCGAAGCACTGTGTTCAAGACTCATGGGGCGCTCAACTCTACAAAGACTTAAAGGTAATTGTTACTATAGTATTCCCTATATAATATCTACTAAGACTCGCAGAATTGCTTGTAACTGCATTGAAGGTTCATCAAATTATTTTTTACCATTTTAATTATCAAAATAGAATAAAAGTAAACTATTTATATATTTATTTATTTATATTGCAATACAATTAAATATATGAATTGAGAGAATATTCAGTTAACAAAAATGTCCACTCACTTTTTTCCTTTCGTACTGTTTAAGCTTCCCTGTGATACTAATATACCAATTATGTATGCCCCCCTTCTTTAGAGCACATGCATTGGTACTTGGTAATCTACCTGTGCGCTAATAGCCTAAATCATATAACTTTGAAGGAATAATATTTCAATAACAAAAAAATGGTATAATATTATGTTCAAAATTATAGACAGTATTAATATTAAATATAGACTTAAGTATCTAAGGTTTTCACACTAATATTTAAAATACACATCTTGAACCTATTAAGTTCAATTTAATAGCTTTTGGAAATTTATTGTTAATGATCTAATAATGATTCATTGTAAATTGATAGTGTGTGCTTTTCACTTGAAAAACAAGCAAGCTAAGAGCTACAGTTCAACATCCTCCGAGACATGGTCATAATTTTACTTCAAAATATCTCAAAATAACTCTAAACAGAATAATGACATTCAATAGCTATATTGAAAAGACAACAAAGAGATCACTAGCAATTATACTACGTAGACTAGCAAAATAGGATGAAAAGCAGATGCAAAGACTCTGAAATCGCAACCATGGCACTGGTCTGCAATACGGCTGAATATGAGGCCCCCAGTGTGGATTATATGTAAAACGAATTGACATATAATTAAATGAAGCTATGAGAATAACCGGTGCTGTAAAGCTGACCCAAACACAATGGTTGCCTATCTTGTTGAATATTATGCCATTTCATATTCAAAGGTATGAGTCACTGACTAGGATAATAACAAAATGTAAAGAGAACAAAACTCGCTACTGTACCAAATATTACAAGAAGTCTCATCATATAAACTTAAATCAATCAAGGAAACCTCCATTGTCACTGCTAAAAATTAAATAAGCTCAAACTTCTACGACTTCATGACATAGAAAAAAGAATAGACAGAAATCAGAAGCTGGTAGATAACCCTTGTATGATGTAAATACATCTACCAAGACATACGTGGTTGGCAGTGAATCTCATCTGAACAGAGCAAGGCAGATTTTTACACTCTATACATAAAAGGAAGTACAAAGGCCTTTCATATGATTGTGGAGATATCAAGCAAACAATAGATCATATAGTGACGGGGTGCCTAAAAAGACTTTCTCTCGAGGTCTGACTAGTATCCACATCACCCCCAGAAGCTATAGAATAGATCAAATGACTAGACTTATGATTTATAAACTATAATATTTAATGTATTGTATATGAAATGTGTTTGTTAGTATGGTATACAAATTAAATAAATACTCATTTTTATTGTACTAAAAAGCCAATGAAAAAGGATATTGGCATATAGCTTGTAACTTTCAGAGTTGGCCACTGCAAACCTGGTGAACCATAATAATACAATTAACTATTTATAAAATAAATAAATGTGTACAGGTCGTGGACAACGCAGTAAAAATATATAAAGGGACGATATCGGACGTGGACTCTTATTCAGTGTTTTGGGACAATAAGAAATTGACACAAACCACGTTAGGCACGCAACTTTCCCAGTTAAATGCCACAGACATTTACGTGTGCGGGTTAGCCTACGATGTCTGTGTTGGTAATGTATAATATAAACTTAAAGTTGACATTTTGTTGTTTTTTTAATTTTATTTGCCTTTCTTGTCCAACATCCGTCATCATCCCTAGCATCCTGCTATACCCTGCTCCTGACTATTTTGCGGTTTCTGCCATCATAATATTTCCATTCTCTTTTATGTACAGGTGCAACTGTTGCAGACGCACTGTCAATTGGATATCGGACGATATTAATTGATGACTGTTGTCGCGGTGTCAACCTGAATGACATTGAAAACACCAAGAACAGCGTAGTTAAAAATCACGGGGTTATTGTCCAGTCGAACGAGGCGAGTATGAAAACAGATAATTATTTTGAATTCTACCACTGCCAAAAACATGATATAGAATATTAATGATTAAAGTTCCACTATAATTTTAAAAAGTCGTTCTTAGTTGTTTTCACATTTAATCCACGTAACAGGTTAAAGTATTTTTATTCTCCTCCTTTATATCCTGATCCAACTTCTACTTTACGTATCTCTCTCCTGGTTTCAATCTACACATTTTCGATTTTAACTAGTATCATTTAAATCCAAATCTTTAACACAGGTGAACACATTGATGAGAAATGCGTATTCTATATTGTTGTATTAGCACCAAAATTTTACTGTAACTTTTGCATTTATGTATGTAAAGGTGAAAGCAATGGTCGAAGGACGTGACAGGAGGCCTGAATTGGGATATAAATTGGCACTTGAGATTGAAAAGTCTATGGAAAAAGACGTATACAATCAAGAGCTGTTTTGATCTGACAAAGAACACGCTCATTGAATACTATGTGAAAACGTCACTATTATACGTTAATTATTTGTAAAACGATTCACAAATAAATTAATATTAATTTGGCCTTGTATTAATTAGTTTTTATCATGGTAAACATGTAAATCATATGTTAATATGATTTTAGAAACATTGTAGTACTTACAAATGCACTAAATATTATTTTATTATATAAAGTATAAATGTTAAATTTACATTAGAAACATAAATTAATATACAAGTGGTTTATTAATGATTACAGTCTTTATTTATATCGCCCATATTGTTATAAACGCTCAAAAACTTAATTTTGTTGAAGTTTTGTTTTAAGCCGATTGGTTTGCTTCAATAAATTGGCTACATTGTGTCTTAAATTATGCAGTTGTAGTGCTGACATTTTAACACTTTTGATTGTGCCGTTTTCCATTTCCAGTTCAATAAAAATTTGTTTCTCAGTTTTAAATCCTTCACTAAAACATAAAATATTTTGTGTAAATTAATCATCAAATATATCTTGTTTAAAATTTTATATGCAATTAATATTCATTAATTTAATTAAAAACTTTGTATGATATTTTGTGAAATAATATAAATTACTACTACTACTACTACTACTACTCACTTATAAAAATAGCAATATAAATCACTGTTAACTATACAATAAAACATGAAACAAATTTTTTTCTGAATGATACGAATATCATGAATGATGAAATTAAATGAAAACAATAAGATTTATATAATTAAAATTATAATTTACAAAAATTATATTAATAAATTTAAGAATATAAAATAATGAAATCCATTATATTTATCATATGACACAATTTGTTGTTTTTTAAAAACAATTGAAAGATTCATAAATGTGTTTGTAAATTATTTTTAATGAAATGAACTGTGCATAAATATATAAATGCCTATGAGTAATAGGTACTATTATATTGTAAAATTTTATTCTAATCCATTTTTAAAATATGTGCATGTAAACATGTGGTTCACAAAATTTCAGATTATCAAATATTGTACCTAAATACTAAAATAACTAAAATTTTACAACTCAGTACTCCAAAATGATTGATTTAATATAACAACAGCTGTTTAAATTGTTTAATAAATATTAAATACTACATACCATGAACAAGTCAATTGTGGTTGTTTATACTATACTTATATAAAAGGATAGCAACATTTGTTATCAATCCAGTAATTAATAAACCATTCAAATATTTTAGGAATGATACTAAAATATTTTTAAGTTTGACAGATATAAAATATTTAATTATGTGAATGAATGAATCATCTTAAGATATACATTTTAAGATGATTGGAAGCAGTAATTTTCTATCTGTCGTATGCACGCACCACATATTAATTTATGTGTTCTACTTCCAATGTACCAATTAGATAATTAATCAATAAAAATGGACATATTTTACACCATGGGTGAATTACTGTTGTAGGTGAGAAGTTGGGAAGGTAGGATACATAAAATTATTTAGTTTATACCTGTTAACATTATAAACCATTATCCATTGCTAATGAAAAATAATTCGGTACAAAATATACATGTTTTAAAAGGCCATAATATTTACAATTTGAAAATAATAAATTTTGTAAATTTTCCATTTTTCCAATGATTTTCCCATATATTATGAAAACTCTTGAGAAAATCAAAAAATTACCTCCCTAAATTGCCATCCCAGTCAGATTCAAAAAAAGGGTTACACTTGAAAATTGAAGTACAATTTCTGGAAGAAAAGTTTCACTGAAAAAAAAAAAACATCATTGTAAAATCAATTCATTGATCGCTCCACTCAGAATTAAAAACGAGATTTAAAATAATAATGAAATAAAATTATTTTTGTAAATTTTCGCGTTCTTTCTGTTTTTTGTTTTCAGTTATTAAAAAAATTTGCTTCTTAATCATTAACTAGATTAAAAATGCAACAATGGTCTCTAGTATTTTTTTTTTTATTGAAGTAATATTTCTAGTAGAAAAAATAATTTACAAAAATGTAAAATCATGAAATTATTACATTGTCAATATGTATATCTTATTTTTCTTAGTTTTTCCCAATTAAAATGAAAATTCACTGAAAAAAAAAAATAAAGATTTTTGGAAAAATTAAAATCAAAAAGTAAGAAAATCGATTTCAAGTAGACTTGACAAAAAATTCAAATCTATTTTCAGAATTGTTATCAATACATTAGACCAATCGGTTTGTTGAAAATAAAACATTTTCTTTTTAATGTATTATATACTTATTACATATTAATTTAGAATGATGTAAAATAAAATTGTTATTAATTTGTACTTTATTCTTTCTTGGGGCGTGTATTTAAATAAATAAATAAATAAATAAATAAATAAATAAATAAATATATAAATGTCTAAATTCCTCACCTTGCACGGGTGTAAAACAAAGACATAAAATCATTGCTTCCAATAACCTTAATATTAAAAGGTAATTTATAAGTGGATATTAAACAATTTAAAAAGGTGATTAATTTATAAGTAGCAGTGTATCGGAAAACCTAGCAATTATTATTATGGAATAAATGATATCCCTTTCTATCAGTTAATTTATCAAATACACACTTGGTATTAACATAACTTTTAATTTCTATTAAAAAAAAATATATACATGTACATGTGTGTTTATGAATATTTAAATTTGGGGATTACTTTTACAAGTAAAAAAATCTGCTGAAAGTATAAAAACAATATTTATACCTTAATATCAAACTCTTAATGAAGACTCTATTTACCAATGATTACATTGATTCGTCACTTTTTAATGGTGGAAAAATATAATCTGTATTATTTCATCATATTAAATTGATCCCGAAGTCCCAACACTAATCAGCCAATCGGCTTCTTCGATCACAACTACTGTCTCGTTAAATACTTATTTTTTTAATTATTTTTAACTACTATTATCACTTGTACTTATTGTAAAAAATATTTCACAGATTGTACAACAAAAAATAAATAAAAAATATTAAATTGATAAATATAAACCCTTAAAAGACATTTTGTATAATACTTTATATACAATAATTTGGTATTTATTTATTTAAATTATTTATGTGTGTAACTATAATAAAAACATAAAATCAAATTAATTGTATTTCATTAATTACATTATAGATTAATTAAAAATAATGTATTTGGAAATAATTTCTGTTTTATAATAATAATAATTCTTTAATTCTAATAATTTTTTAAGCTAAACCTATAAAATGTTTTATAAAAGTTGGATTGTTAGTTAGGAAAATGTACTCTAATGATGTACTCTAATCTATTTATTTTAGCTGTTAAAATTACTGAGCTAATGTTTTGGTAATTTGTTTAGATCATATCTTTGATACATATCTGCTTTTTCTCCCAAGAAAATCTAATATATGAAAATTTGATAAAAATAAAAGTATGATTAATTGAAAAAAAAATATAAGTTTAAGATGATTTCTATGAATATAAAATTAATCTTTAGAAAATTATGTTGAAAATAGCTTAAGGTTATTGTTATTTTTACCTCGAAGGAACATCAACATTTTCAATTCTGTAGGCGGTTGGTGCTTTTGTGTATACTTCCATTACTAAATGTATAGGATTTTGTTTTTTAAATTATACTAAATTGTGAATATTCAATTTTGGTTCAAATGGATAATATAACGTATCTAAACAGCATTGATTTGATTGAACAAAAACAAACATTTCAGATTTCCAAATTTGTGATGCAATATTTATAATTTGTATAATTTACAATATAATTTATTAGACTGCAGCGATGTTAGCGGTGTTTTTATTAACTAAATACTATCACTATTATCTGTCATATGACTGATAATAACTACTGCAGCTACTGTCTACTACAGTACTACACTACTACCTGTCCTAGCTATTATAGAATTTTAAAAATTCAATATTTTAATATTGTTAATTGATTGTGCTTTATTATCTAAATATGACAGTATTTAACTTTTCAAAACAAAAAATGTTGAGCCATATAAGCCTCCTAGCATAATCCTTTAATCTTTTTATAATGTGGTAAAATTTTACATTTAAAAAAAATTAGTTTTATTGTTTTATTTGAATTTTAATTGTTTAAGGCCAAACATTTGATAAAAAAAAAAACAAACATTTTAAAGTATCAGGCATTTCATGTTGATTATTAATTTTTTCTTACTATTTGATCAATGATTTTTAGAGTATAGCATATTTTAAAATTGTATAAATATTGAATATAGATCATTTTGTATCAATTAATATGTATTTCAAATAAAATTTGTTTTTAAGTTCGCCATTTTAGAAAATAGGAATACAACTTTTTAAATTTTATTTTCAACTTGATAAATTTATTTTAAGATACACAATAACTCATATTCCAATGTCCATTATTCATATTGAATTTTCAAAGATGTGATAAGCTAAAAATCATTAATTTTTCAAATATTTTGACCAAATTGTAGGAAATTAAGAAAAAATTAATAATTAACAGAAGGGAAGTCACATAGAATGTCCACCATACTTTAATTTACTTTTCTCAAAAAATTTCTTAACCTCAACATTTCTATACAAGATACAGTATTGCCATCAACACTTTATTTTTTATATATATATAAAAAATATTTTATTTCAAAAACCAATGTTTTTTTTTTTAAATGGATAACTTTATCACATTACAGGTGGATGAAAGAATATTGTTCTGAGAAGCTAAACTTAACATAAAAAAAACTTCTATCATCATCTAAAAAAACCACACTTGTAGTTTATTCATGAATATACAGAACTATGGTAGTATATCAAATTACATAGATTTGTTCATATGTTTATGTAAAATTGTTTGTATTTTTATCATTAAATTTAGTATTAATATAAAGGTTAGGTTCCTATTTATTTATTCAGTTCTTATTTAATTTTAAATAATGACAAGTATGAGTAATCATAGAAAACATACAAATTATAATTTATAATATGATAAAATATTACAATACCTCATTAAAAACTTGAATGTTCTGATAATTAAATTAGAAATTCGTTATTTTTTTTTTTAAGATCTCTATTTTGTATAGCTGCAAATTGGACTGTTTTTGCATTCAATACCTTATTCTTCACGGATTGTAAGTCATTTAATTGACATTGAAGTTTTTCAATTTTAATTTTGTATCTGAAAATATACATGTTTAAAAATTATAACATTAGAAATGTAAATAGTATTTTTATAAGTTAATATATTTTTTTTTTTATTTTTTACCTGGAATTTGATTTATGTAAATTGTGTATTGTCTTTCTTAACATTAATAATTTTCTATTATCTTGATTTGTGATAAATGTTTTTCCTATTTGATTATGCTTATTAGTTAATGTTCTTCGATATTTCTGGACACGAAAAGCTGCAATAATTTTTTCACACCATGAGCAACGTTTTCGTTTAAGCTCGTGTATTATAAACGAACATTTGTTATGTCTCCAAATATTATTTTTATATTTAATACCATGTTTAACTGATATACCTAAACAGAAAAACATTTTATGATGTATGATTCTGAAAAAAAAATTTTTTCTAAAATAAGTTATTTATTTTTGATTCTGAATGGAGGGAAGAAGCTTATGGTTTTACAAAGATGTTTTTTTTTATTTGTGTGTAATTTTGAAACCAGAAGACTCGCTTAGATTTTTAAGTGTAGCACCTTTTCTGAAAGGAAATCGGCATGGGGAGGTACATGAAGGTCATTTTTCAATTTTCTGTTTTCTTATCAAATTTGGAAAACCAAAAAGAAAAAAAAATATGGGAAAATGTACGAAATATATTACTAAAATATTCCTAAAATATTAATGATAGCAATGTTTCTAAAAGGAAATTTTACTAAGGAAGTACTTTAGAGAGGTAATTTTTCGATTTTCCAAAGTTTTCCCAGTAAATGTGAAAAACCGGGATAAAACATAGGAAAACTAGAAAAATCAGAACAATATTAAACAAATATTATAAAAAAAAATACATAAAGTCTATTTAATTATTATACTATAAAATGACATATATTGTTGTCAATGCATCACTATCAATTGAACTCTGCTCAGAATCTTTTTTTTATTGTAAGCAATGGTTTTTTCATTGCTTACAGGTATACATTAAATTATCTATAACAGTGACTGCACCCATCCCCCCCCCATTATCCTGGGACCTCTTTTTATTAAATTGAAAGAAAATGTTTACATACCTGGATAATGTAACTCATTCGGCCCACCTACACATAGACGCTTAATATCGAAAGTAATTATTAATTTTTCTATTTCAATATTCGAGAAAGATGTTATTTTTGGTAAAAATAAATCTTCTTCAGAACATAGTTTATCTAATATATAACATCTAATTTGTTTGTCGCTAGTTATTACTATCTGTTTTTCAATAACAACTTTAAAGAATTCATTAATTGTTTCTTGTTTAGCATAAAAAAATGTCAGAGCATCTACATCGATAGATGAGTACCAATCTTTTGGTAAACTGGTGGTTTTTTCAATGTTTTTTAAACTAAAAAGACATTCAGATTCAATGGGTACATAAATAACCTAAAACAAAAAATAAAAATATTGAATAAATAATTTGTTAAATTTTTATACTCAATAATTTATATAAATTATAATGTATTGTAAAATACCATTGCTCTAATTATAAGAAGGTACTACCTCATAAGAATTATCCATAGCTAAACTATAATCGTGTTCAGGGAACATATATCTTCCACACTCCACAATTGATTGGGTACTTTCATCAATATTTATTTTTGTAGATTCCTATCAAAAAATATAAATATTTTTTAAATACATAACCATAATTTTTTAAATTTTTTATGTTAAGTATTAAAATTGATATTGTTAAAATTACCTTTTCACCAGAACTATGACTGTCATTATTAAAAATTTGAGGAATAGCACCTTTAGATAATCTAGGTTTAATTCTTTTAGGAAAATCAATACCTAAACTCTGAAAAATATAAGATAGGCATTATAATTTCTAATATTGGTCAGGCAATAAAGACTATCAGAGGAGAAAGAGAAATATGTTGGAGTGGAGCTTTTCAAAAAGGAATCTAAAACTATGTTTGTTTAATTTTGATAATAAAGGTCTTTAAATTGTCTATACTCTATATAATATGTATACATAAGGTGACCATATATTTTTTTGATGAAAATGAGACAAATAAAATGCATTGTCATTTTTACTAAAAACACAACATTTTTTTAATAATCATTAACAAAGTTATACACCAATTATTATATTTTTACGGAACAAAAATGAAATTAATTGATTAAAATTATTATTTATTAATAAGTAACTAATTTTTATAATAGACATTTATTTTTCTATTTAATAATTATAAAGAAAATTATATACTAGTATATTTTTTTTTGGAACATATTTTCTTCAATAAGTCCAATAACCGGCACACAACGATGAAGAAGTTTAACTACAAACCCGACCTTCCGCGTGTACACAATTGATTCTCATTTATTTGTTTACCTCTTGAAAACGGAATATTTTTGTGTCCCAAAGATTTCCCAAAAGACAACGACACAGAAATGGGACTGTATCGTTTAAAGCGGTACATATTGTCACTTTAAGTATACACAACAATTTAATATTTATGTTGCATGCTTATTATGTTATTTAATAATAACTCTACTTTATTTTTTAACTTTCAAATACCTCAACTCCACTATAAGTTGTCACAATGTCTTGTGGACGAAAATGTTTTTCACAGACAAACTTAACTTTAGTGTCACATTTATTAACATTTTTAATAATGTTTGTCCAGATAGTATTAAATTCTTTTGGTACACTAAAAAATGTACATTCACCATCAAAACTTTTACAATTATTTATACTGCACTTTCTGGTCATTTTGAAATAAATTATGCAAGTATGAATTAATTACAAATCGAAAAGTAAAAAGGAAACTATATTCAACATTCACCATCAGCAAGCGGTAAAATATCGAATGTACCCCATAGAGCACGATAGTGGAATTATCAATTATACTTTACTTGTATACATAGATAATAAATGTATTATCTCAGTCACACTCAAGATATGCGGCATTTTGAAATGGCGGCATAATTTCAGGTTAATGGTTCAAATCACAATTCGATTATAAAGAATTTGCGCCAAATTATCTTAGGTATGCTATGCTCCAAACAATCATAAATCAACGTTCAGGACTTCAGATGGTAGCTGAATCAATGACCACATGACAATTTCGTCCGTCACCGTTCTTATTTTGTATAATTTATCAATTGTATGCTAAGGTTTACCTTTACTTAAACTGGTTATAATTACATTGGCCTTGTGCGTGTTTCTGTATTTTACTTAACATTATTTAAACGTATTAAATATGATTCTATGTTTATCTAGAATTTAAACGATTCTGTGTGATTGGAGGTACGTTTTCCTTGCCCAATCGACATGTCCCAAAACACATTGTTCAATTATTTTAAGAAATTGCCAACTTCCGAGAACAATACCAATGGATCGTCGTCACCCAGTAGTGTGACATCAAATACCCCAAAACGTCCGTCCAAGGATAGTTCGTCAACTCCCAAAAGGAAGACTCCAAAGACTATTAATGGAAGTTCAAAAAAAGAGAAGATTCCCAATAGTGAAAGTTTAAAAAAAAAAACTGAGAAAAGAAAACCAAACCAAATCGGTAAAATTCATAATAATTGTATTATTTAACAATCAACATATTCCGATTCATTATCTAGAGTCATAGAAAATGTATAGGTAGTTAAATATACATAGTATAGCAAAATTTGAGTATATATTTCTTATTTTATGAAAAGACGTCTAAAATATTATATATAATATGTGTATATATATATATATATATATATATATATATATTTATATATTAAGTATACAAGGTAATCCATTTTAGATGTCTACACTTTATATATTGAAAAGTATTTTGAGATCAGTTTAAGAAACAAGCAACTCTAAAATGTTACATTATCATTATTTTTTGTTCCCCGTATTTTTGGCAATGAAATCACTACTCTAACCTAACTCGATTTTTTTACAGCAATCTATGTTACACATTTTGCACTATGCAAATAGAGCGTCCTGCTATACCACACAAATGATATTCCTCTTCTCTTCCAAAATTAAAAATGTAATATAATTGTTTTCAAATTGTCCCCAAAAAATGTCTATTAAATGTAATATTTTTCAAGATAATGAGTGTATTACTGAGGACTGATTACCCTAAACTAGGCATTCATTATTTTCATGTATGTGGATTATGGACATAGACTTTTAGAGGTTGCATATTATAAACTATTATTTATTAACCAACACTAAATACTAATTATATATTTCAAGTAGTTAGTAATAATTGCACATTTTTATTTGAGAAGAAATTTGGAAATTATAAGTAAAATAAATTCTTTTTTTCTGACAAACTTAATATCATCTATACAAAAAACAAAAAATGATTATTTTATTCAATAATTCTTACTGTTTATTTATTTATTTTTAATAGAAGAGCCTATTGAAGAAAATGACGAAAATGAAGAATTGCCTATAAAAAAACGACGTAAGCTCATATTGGAAGAATCAAGTGAAGGTGAAAGTGATTATGAAGATTCTGGTGATGAATATGTGCCAGGTTAATAATTACTATTTTATAAAAAATATTTCAGCAACCACTATCACAATCTTCTTAATAGTTGATTCTCCGTAAAGATATATAATTATGTCATTTTAAAATTATATTGCATTTGTTTTCAAGATAAAAAAGCTATGATAGAGTCTGAATCCGAAGAAAGCCCAATACCTTCTGACGATTCTTTTATTGATGATGGTTCCGATGATGAAGGAACTCCAGAAAAAGTATATACCTACATTATATTAGTTTTTAAATCAAAAATAGTTACTATTTAATTTATATATATTTTCAATTATAGAAAAAAAGAAGTGTTAAAACAAAATCAGTTGTAGTTAGTAGAAAATCAAATTCTTCAAATTTCAATGCATCTTTGAATAGTCCTGCTGTTGATAAATCTACTAAGGTAAAATTATTCTGTTTATACTGTTTGTTCTGTAATATCTTAACAATTTAATTGAATATCGCAATGTTTACAATACAGGTGACCAAAGGTATAGTTGATCATGATAGTTGGCCACATTTAAACTTGGATTTCTTACAACTAAATAAAATTAGAGATGCTAATAAAAAATTGCCATCAGATCCTAATTACAATCCTCGGTCATTGTATATACCAGACGATTTTAAACTTAAATTAACTCCAGTAACTATATTCATCTTTTACAACTTTTAACATTATATATATTTACATAACACTATATTTATTTATTTTAAGGCAGTCCGACAGTGGTGGGAATTAAAATCACAACATTTTGATTGTATATTATTTTTTAAAGTTGGAAAATTTTATGAGATGTATCATATGGATGCAGTTACATGTGCCAAAGAACTAAATCTTCTATATATGAAGGTGCTTGATAATTATAATAAACAACATAATACTAAAACATAATATTTACCGTTTTTGTTATATCTATTAATGCATTTAGGGAGATTTTGCTCATGTGGGATTTCCAGAAACTGCGTATGGTAGATTCTCAGCAATCCTAGTTGAAAAGGGTTATAAAGTTGCTCGTGTTGAACAAACTGAAACACCAGATATGATGACAGAGAGATGTAAAACTTGTAAGTTAATATTTGATGAAGTATTTTATAAGTATGTTTATCATTAATATTATGTAATGAATATTTTTTAGTAAAAAAGACTACCAAATTTGATAAAGTTGTACGGCGTGAAATTTGCCGCATTACAACTAAAGGTACTAGAACTTTTGGTATTATTGATGGTGAAACAAATGATGCCGAAAATTCATTTTTAATAGCTGTATCTGAAAAAGTAAACTTATTATGTTATTATAAGTATTTGTTTAAATGTTTATTATAAGTATTAATTAATTTTCTTATTAGGAAATTAGCAGTTCATCTTCCTTATATGGTGTGTGCTTCATTGATACTTCTATTGGTCTTTTCCATCTTGGTCAGTTTGAAGATGACTGTCATTGTTCTCGTTTAAGAACACTGTGTGCTCATTTTCCACCAGTTCAAGTAAATTACTAGTACTTATTGAATTTTATGTGTAAAAAAATTACTTCTATTTAGAGATGATTGTAGAGTAATAACCACTTATAGAGTTCATAACATATAATACAAATAATTTTTTAAGAATCCTATTTGTGACTTAATTGCATTATCTATTTAAAAAGATATATGTTTTTATACATTTATTTATCATATGAATTAAATATTTTTAAGTTCATTTTAAGTAATTTATTGATTTTCATCAATATTATTAATGCCTTGTTATATAAATTTATTTTTATTCTTTATGTTCAGGTTTTATATGAAAGGAATAAACTAACTGTGCGTACTAAAAAAGTTATTGACACAATGCTTTCTAATGCTGTTAAAGAAGCACTGATTCCAGACGTAGAATTTTGGTCATCATCAAAAACATTGATTACTTTAGCAGAGGGGGATTATTTTAAAAAAAATGACAATGTGGTATATCCAGCAATATTGAAAAAGTTTTTGGGCAGTGGTAAGTATTATTTGTAATTTTTACAGATAATATTATTTTATCATCAAAAAGAAACATTATTTACACAAAATAGTACTTAAAATCATTTCAAAGTACCTATAATAATTGTTCATAACAATAGTATAGTTATATAAAGTATCCCATGAAGATTTACCATTTGTAATATCTCCAAAAATATAAAGATAATCAATTTTTTTTTTTTTATATATATATATATATACATTACTCATAGAGATAAGGACTACAGATATTTATATTTCAATTAATTGTTTATGTTTTGGTAAAAATCTTTAAAAATTATTTTATTTTATTATTTAAAAAAAAAAAAATTGAAGATATCCATTCTAAAGAGTTTATTCTCTGATAATTTTGGCATATAAACTTTTATTTTCATTAAATTCGTGATTTTTAATAATTATTTGAAGTACAGAGAAAATATATAAAAAAAAATAATTTAATTATCTTTACTATATCAGAAGATATTGCAATGGGTATATCTTTAAACACCCTTTAAATAGATATAGTAATTATTTCAATGACCCAAATTTGAGAAAAGGAATAGCAAGATTGTAAGTAATAGTATCATGTATTAAGTGTGTATTTATTTTAAAATTAATCTCTTTTTATTAATTTATTTTTGTTGAATTCCACAGAAAATTAATTATGTAATATATACTATATACTAAAATTTTAATAATTATCGTATTCATTAAAAAAAAAAATTTAATTTACAAGATAATGAAAATTAAAAACATTTTTAAATTATATGGAAAATATTTATGAGTTCATACTTTTGTGTATGTAAATAGTATTTTTTTAATTTTTACCAAGTTTAAAGTGAAAACTAATATTAGTAAATTTTTAATTGATATAATATCTAATAGGTACTTGTAAGATTGAAATAATATTAAGAGGATTATTTTCAAAATAATTAAAAATTCAATGATCTAATATAAATTAATTTCAGACTCTGAACTACAACTAAATGCTAATGATGAATGTGAACTCGGTGTTCGGAGTTTGGGTGCTGTTATATTTTATTTAAAACGGTGTAAGATGGACTTTCAGTTATTATCTAGAGGAAGATTTGATATTTTTGAACCAGTAGATGTTGAATGTGTCAAGTTATCTAATCAAGATAATATAAATACCAAACATATGGTAATTAATTTTATTGTTATATGGTAGATCTGTATGTTATTTTTAATTTAATTTGAGTTTAAATGATTTATTTTTATTTTAAAGACTTAAAAAGTTTTCACAAAAAAATTGTCTTCTGATAATCTATTTATAATTTTGTAATGTTTTTTTGTAGGTCCTCGATGCTATAACATTAAAAAACTTGCATGTATTAGAAAATTCATCAGGTTCAAATATAGGAACTCTACTTAATAAGTTAAACCATTGCTCTACACCATTTGGAAAACGGTATGTTTTTAATTTTATGAATATATGCAACATTCCATGAATTCAGCTTAACATACATATTTTTAATATATTATGTGTAATAATTTCTATAGATTACTACACCAGTGGTTATGTAATCCATTGACGACAATAACCAGTATAATAGCTAGACAAAATGCTATTTCTTCTCTAATAGATATCCCTGATTTGATGCATGAAATACATTTAGATTTGGCCAGTTTGCCAGATTTGGAACGTTTATTTTCTAGGTAATTTATCTAATTAAAGTAATTTATACATAATTTCTGTTATGAACTGTATTTGTATTTATTTTTATTATTTTAGGATTTATTCTCAGAGTACTAATGGAGTCGAATCAGATCATGCTGAGACTAGAGCTATATACTTTGAAGAGAAAACTTATTCTAAAAAAAAAATAATAGATTTTATTTCAATATTGAAAGGTTTTAGAACAAGTGTTAAAATAATGGAAAAATTGCAAAGTAATGTTTAATTTTAAAAATTCACATCTGAAACATTAACAAACAAAAAAAAAAATAATTTATATAATATTAATTGTTTGTAGAAGCTGATATCGGAAAAAAAAATGAAGGATCAAATTTATTGACTATGATTTGTAACTATCCAAATAGTTCTATACCTGGAGTATTTCCATATTTAACTGAAATTCTTGATAATTTTGAAGTAATTTATTTTGCAAATTTTTACTCTAATTACTAAATAAAATGTTTCTTTTTTTCATATTTTCATTTTAAAATTAAATTTTGTGTTGACATGTGCTATAGAATTCATTTGATCACGATGAAGCTATGAAACATGGCCGCATTTTTCCCGAAGCAGGAATGGATGATGACTATGATACAGTTATAAAAAATATTAAAGAAGTAAATACGGAATTAAACTCTTATTTAAATGAACAATGCAAACACTTTGGATGTAAAGTAAGTTATATACCATTGTATTAAATTTGATTTGAACAAATATTAATAATACATTTTATTCTTTAACTGAAGGTTCAATATTTTGGTTCTTATAAAAACCGCTACCAGTTAGAAGTGCCTGAGGCTGCATCAAAAAGAGCAGGAGATGGCTATGAACTTGCAAGTCAAAGAAAAGGGTTCAAAAGATTTGTTACTAATCGTTCTAAGGTTTGCCAATTTTATTAATTGTCGTTTAATGGTTTTCAACAGTATTTTTTTATATTTTTTATAGGAGCTTTTGGAAAAAATGACTCACTATGAGGAGGAAAAAATAGATGTATTAAAAAGTCTCAGGGAAAGAGTGTTTACACGTTTTTGTGACAAATTTGATGATTGGAACAATGCCATCCAGTGTTTAGCTACCTTAGATGTATTCGTGTCATTAGCAGAATACTGCCGCTGCGAAGAGGAGATCATGTGTGTACCTAAATTTGTTCCAGCTATCAATGGAAAAACTGTAAGTAAAATTTAACATAGTTGTTAAAAATAAACCTATTATTTACAACTGTGTGACAGTATCCTATTAAAAAGTGAATTACAATCAATGAGAAAACTAAAATATTGCACTTTTAAGTAAACATTTTATATATAATATTTTCATCAATCAATATATAACATATTATTTTGATACATACACTTTAAATCTTTAATAAATGAAAACTAAGAGTTATTTGCTTAAAACATTGGTGTATTTGAGTCTTATGGATTATTATAATTATAACAATTATGGGAATTTTTATATAAAATTCACAATATTGTTAATAATTCTATTAATAGTATCATTTTTTTTTTCCAATTGTAATTTACTTTTTTATGGTAGAACCTTGTGTGACTGATGTTTATTTAATATATAGCCATTTGTTGAACTCGTTGAAGGGCGCTACCCATGTAGTTCAGGTGGTGAAAATTTTATTCCAAATGATACGATCATTGGAAAAGATGAAGATGGTACATGGAATTCAAGTTTGATATTAGTAACGGGACCTAACATGGGAGGAAAGTCTACCTTAATGAGACAACTCGGCATAATAACGATAATGGCTCATATGGTAAGAATAATATTAATACTCGGTATAAATAAATACTCCATGTTAAGACATTAGAAGCAAACACAGGATATTTTTTAAGTGAAGTATTGAATATGTTTTCACTTACTACAGAAATTATTTCCTTATCTATAAAATGTTTAAAATACATAATATTAACAAATGTATTATGTCCCAAAGGTATTCTGTTAATTTAGAGAAAATCTGATTTTATATTTGATATTTACTAAAATTATAAAATAACAATTTTAGGGTTGTCGGGTGCCTGCTAAAAGCTTTCTTTTGAATCCAGTAGACAGAATATTCACAAGGATTGGCGCCAATGATAATATAATTGCTGGAGAGTCAACATTCTTTGTTGAATTATGTGAAACATCAGCTATACTTCATCATGCTAGTCGGTTTTCTTTAGTTTTGGTTGACGAATTAGGTTAGTTGTTATTTTTCTTTCAGAAATATATTTGTATGTATATACATGTTAATTCTCAACACAAACGTCTGTTGTATAGGCAGGGGAACTTCAACATATGATGGAACTGCAATTGCATCTGCAGTTGTCACCGAATTGGTAAAAAAACAGTGTCGCACATTATTTTCTACTCATTATCACTCGCTTGTTGAAGATTTTAAAGCTAATGCCTTAGTTTCTCTTGGTCATATGGTATATATTATTATCATTAATACTTAAAATTAAACTAAAATAATAATTAATCAATTTATTTATTTTCTTACTTTCTAGGCATGCATGGTAGAAAATGACAACACAAACGAGTTAGATTCTGAACAAACACAAGAAACAATTACATTCTTGTATAAATTTGCAAGTGGTGCTTGCCCAAAATCTTATGGATTTAATGCTGCTCGTTTGGCTGGCATGCCTCCAGACATTATCAAAATAGGTCTACAAAGAGCTAAAGAATTTGAAATGGCTGCTAAGCGTCGAATTCTATTTAAAACTTTATTTTCATCTAATGATCTACCTGTTATAAAAACAGCAGTTTTAGCTTTATAAAAGGAGTTCCTATTTGCTCAAATCTAATGAATTACTAATTTCAACAAGGTATTTTTGATTATTTTTAATATATAATCAATATGAATTTGCATAGTTATTTTATAAGTATTTTTTTTTTTTATATAATATTAATAAAAAAACAGAACTGATAGAAAATATTTTTTTTTTTTTATTGGTGTCATTACAGACACAGTTAAATGAAATAGTAAGAAATGGCTAGTGTTTGGAAAAATTGAATTCGTCAATACATTCATTTTATGTTTAGAAATGGCAAATACAAATGCATTCAATTTATGTTAGAATGTGAATTTAATAATGTCTATTTATATTTAATAAGTCAAATATCTTTAATCATTGTACATAACAAAAAATTAGCAGTATCAATGCTTAGTCAATGTTCAAAGTAAAGTATCTGGTTTGACATATTGGCCCCTTACCTTGTTACCTGCTAGATTGTGTGAAATTTGCCTGGGGATGATCTGACAGACATGCTCCATTGCATTTGTCGGGTACTTGTTTAGGGGTGTCATAATTTATGCTCAGTTGAATGCCAGGATTGTTATCTTTAGCTAGCAGATAAATATTGCTTTCCTCTTATGCCACTAAGTTATATATAAATTCTTAAAGTGTTTTTCGAGATAATTCAAAAATAGAACCTAAAGCGTGAACTGTTGAAAATGTTTCTGAAACATTCCTGTTACGCTCAAAATCTAAAAACGTAAATAATAAAAAAATATTATTTTTATTTTTAATTTATTTCTCTAACATTACAAAGGTAGTTAAATTAAGTGGCAAAGATGAATGTAAGATGTTTAGAAGTAGTTTTTCTAATGATCTTGTCGGTTGGGACCAGGGCATTCTTCTAAATCATTTTGATCATTGTATACTGTTCCACAATAAACACAATAATTATATGTACGTCTTAAATAAAAGTTAAGTATTTTAAATTGTTCAGTTATAGACATTATGTTTTCTTCTTTATGTTCTTCCATTTCCTCAGCATTTTGTTCACTTAGATTATCAGTGGAATCATTGGGCCAAAAATAATGTTCAGATGGTTCTTGTATATCCTTAAAAACAAAATTTACTATAAATATTTTAAAAAATTACAATTTTATCTTTTAGCTGTACAATGTATTACTTGTTGCTTGTATTAGTATAATAATTGAAATACAAATACAAATAAGTAAAAGAAAATTCCTTGTAACATGATAATAAATTTTAGATTAGAGTAGAATAATTATTATTTCTATTGGAAAGTAAGTTCAAAGTAGACCAAATAAATTTTAAATATAAAGTATTCATATACTATATTAAAGACAACTCAAAAGAATGTAACAAGTGATTTGAAACAAGTTTCCATCACTTCTATATTTTGAATGCAGTAAATAAAATTAATTATGAATTATAGATTTTTAAATATCAATTTTATAGTAATATAATTACATTTTCTAAATCCATTTGACGGCAAACTCTTTGGCTTCTTAATAAGTCCAAACGGTCTAGTTTCTCAGAGGCTTCCTGAGCTCGCCTTTCTCTGTACTCATTAATGCTAGGTCCTACAGGTCGCAGTCTACTGCGTAAAATTGATTTTTTCATTTCATTGATTTCCTTGAGCGCAGCGACTCTACCCAGACCTTTACGGTCAGATTTTAGCACGATGCTGACAGGTTCAACCCTGCCACAATCTATAAGAAAAATAATATTTAAACAACTGGTGAGTACTGTTACTACAATGAACAATAATACCAAAATATAATGGCTCTCACTGTTTTTGCCAATTCCTGAACCAGGCTTGTAACCCATTTTTTGCAACAGAGCAAAACCTTTGTTTTTGCTGTCTATAGCTTTTTCCAGTCCCTCCTGACGCCTTTGTTCTTCCAATGCTTTGATACCAACAGTCTTGTTTAATCGTTCACATTCGTTTTTCTTTTTCATTTGATCGTGCAAACGTTTCTGTTCGTGTGTCATTAACAGGCCAGGCCGGACATTGTTGGTAGTCCTAATATAAAAATTAATAGAAAAATAAACAATTAGAATTTTATGATAGTGGGAATACGGTATATATATGTGGTAACTTATTTCAATTTTTAAAACTTTGTTCAATTTGTTGTAAAATGTATATATTTCTCTTTAATTTAGATAAGAACATTTTACAATATTAAACGTGCTTCATTTTTATCCAGTTATTCACAAAAATATAATGTCCAAGAATTATTTTAAATTTGCGAAAAGGCTAATGTTTTAAAAAAATGAGAATTATTTTAATAAGGATTGCATAGCCTACGTTTTCTATACATACTCGATGTTGAGGAAAGCGTCAGACATGTAATCGTCGTCTTCCTCTTCATCTGTGACCGCCATATTTACGGGTACAAAACGGTTAAAATTTTAAATTGAAACGGTCAAACAGCAAAATCATAACTTAATAGTTAATTATTCAACTCATTAACTTTCTGTAATTTCCGGATTTTTTTTAATCTCCGTTATCACTGTTAAACGAGCGTCTCGGAAGCAAAATTGCATGACCAATCAGAAACATTCACATTTGTTATCTATATTTGTGAAAACACATTTATTAATTTTTATCAGCGTATTAGCCATTAGGTACGTAATCATGTGGACAAGTTCGACAAATCTAAGTAGTAAACTAATACTATATCCTAGGTACCGAAAACTCTCAACCTCGCTTATAACTGCTTTTTACCGTTAGTTGTCTTGTCTTGTTCTTCCAAACTCATACTCTGATTTATTTCTTCTTATCCTTAGTCCCTGTCCTTCAAATGCTACTCTCCATTCCCCAAGCCTATTGCTAATCTATTCCAGAATTTCTTCTACAAAGCTATATTATCTGCAAAACACACATCATAATACCTCCTCTCACCTGTTGTCCCCACGCACATCCGAGATCAATCTGCCAGTCTTGTTTATACCTAGTTTACATTCAGCTGCTGCCATTGCTACTCGCGCTGCCGTATTTACTCTTCAAAATACTTCTGTGACAGCGTAGACGGCAGTGAGTGTTTACATTGCCCTGCTAATTATAGCAGCGCGAGCAGAAATGGCCGGATTGATCGCATTGCCGGTTGTGTTGCTGCTCAGTTTACCGCTCTTGACGGGAGCGTCGGGCAGCGTCAGTGCGAGGAGCGTGATCAGCGCGTGTGACGTGTTTACATACTCGCGCTGCCCATTTTAATGCTCACTTCCCTGGAAGTGATCTGAATGTAAACTAGGTATTAGAACTTCCCATACTGAATTGTACACCGGCTATCGACCTGACGACACCCCATTTGTCGGTTTTTACGACAGGCAAAGGTACATATACGTGAGTATATTCTGATCCTTTCCTATAAGAAAATTAAAATATAATGATGATTGATACTTAATAAAAATAAAAATAAAAAATACACAAGTATTAAATTTACGTAGTATATTTTAATTGGTTTTAGCTGAAATAACAATGGAATAGAAATATTTTATATAAAATAAATTACAAAAGTGCGCTATTTAACTGTTGAATATTATAAACATTTCAATAATAATAGTATTAGTCTAGCAGTTGATTATTAATGTATCAAATATTTGTCTAGCACACACGGTCGTTGATCAGTTTAATCGATCAAAACATTGTACCTGCCCTACCTCTATAGTTTTTATAATTCTAGTCTGGACCATATTATGTATTTGTGAAATTTTGTATTAAATTTAATATTAATATTTTAGACTTTTATGATCTGTTTTTTTTAAAAAAAATTATTACTGCTACTATTTTTAGTAATATGTAACGTATAGTCTTGATTTTTTGCATACTTATATTTTACATTATGTTATACTTATATTGGGTATTGTTGTTGTAGTATTCTAAGCTTAATATAAGTTAAAAATAAATGACATCAGACCTAAAGGTTTTAAGTTTTTGTTGACCAAAACGGTGGTATTCAAGAGTAAAAACTGTTCGCCCCCATCCCCATGGAATCGATCCGAAGATGCCGATGACCTATATAAGACAGTACTTAATGGATATTCTGAAATTTTATTTCTTGTAACTGTAGTAACCTTCACCAGTCTTGATTCCCAATTTTTTCTCGTCTACCAATTTCTGTAAAGACTTCAATGGTTCAAACAACGGATTCTCTGGGAATTTGTCATGCCATCCGTTTATAATAGAATTGTTAGTATCATGTCCAACATAATCTGCCAATTCAATTGGTCCCATGGGATGTCCAGCACCCAATTTCATGGCTATATCGATATCCCTAGGAGAAGCATCGCCTCTTTCTAACATCCTGATTGCTTCAGCCATCAACGGCAAAAGGAGTCGGTTGACTACGAATCCGGGGGTGTCTTTACAAGTTATAGTAGTTTTGCCGATGGCTTTTCCCCAGGCCATAAGTTTTTGGTACGTTTCATCAGAAGTTTCTGGGGTCTTGATGACTTCCAGTAGTTTCATCACTGGTACGGGGTTGAANACAGTGACGATGTGTTAGAAGCAAATATAGTCTTCTTTGGAGCGACTTCGTCGATAGATTTGAATAGCTTATGTTTAACCGACAGGTTTTCGACAATAGCTTCCAACACCAGATCGGAATCCTGAACGACATTGGGCAGATCGGTCGATGTGCTGATCCTCGAAAGTGCTTCGGATACGAAAGCATTGGCATCGTTGGGATTTTCCTTGAATGTCTTTTTGGCGATCCGTTGCAAACTATTCTCGATGCTCTTGTACGTTTTGTCCAAGACGCTTTGGTTGAGTTCTACGATGGTTACGTTGTGTCCACTCTGGGCGGACACTTGTGCAATCCCTGAACCCATCAGTCCACCACCGACCACGGTAACATTTTTGATTGCCGCGCGGGCAACGACGGACGTTGAAAAATTTCTAGAGATCACATTAATACACGACATTTTTGAGAATTTTCTTTTTTCAAAATATTTAACTTAAACGATTAAAATATAAAATTAAACGATGTACACGGAATAAATTTAATTATGTGCTTTGGTCTTTTGCACGAACAACAAGTGAGACGGGAAGATGTGACATTGAACAACGAATACAACCACTATAGGAAACTTTATTTTACCAATAACATTAAGAGAATATTATTATTATTCAATGTTATCACTTTAACAGCTACTTACCATTTATTACTTTACTAGGTGTACTCTTACTCACCACGGTCATTTCTCTTTATCATTTACTTATTAATTATTATATTATAGCTGTGGACAAATAATATATCAGTGGTTGTAGATTACAGATAAAAAAAGTTCGTGACGTGGATATATTATCCATACACATATAATATATTAATTTACCTAGATATTCCTTGGGGATTTAGAGCATTTAGATCGTTTTTACAATTAAGTCCTCTTAGTCATTTAGATCCCTTACTCACTAGTATCTAGAAAATTTGGAGATCTAGGTGGCTGTTCACGAAGATCTAGTTTACACACGGGGATTAACAAGGTAACTAATATTGTCTCATGGGGATCTAGTTAGACACGGGAAATCTAAATCGACGGTGTAAATCTTGGTGGAATATCATCAAATACACTGGTTACACATTTATTATCAACAAAAACATTTCTTATCAGTAAATACCGGTTTTTGATAAAATTTAATAATTTCCTTACCAGTTACCTTTTAAGACAAAATAGTCAATTTACCTACCAAATTTTAATTTTAAGGCTTTAAATTATTTATTTGTTTTCTATTATATTATTTAAATTTAGTTAATTTTCCATATTACTAACTTAAGGATGTCTGAAAGCGATACTCGGAGATGGAATCATTTAAAAAAAATCCTAGAACGTTCTAGTCCTTTTTGTCATCCAGATTTTGAGCCCGGCACGGGCATACTGGATTTTCTGCAAAATTCATGTAAACTTCTTGTGGTTGGTGCTGGTGGATTGGGTTGTGAATTGCTCAAAGACCTTGCTATGATGGGATTTGGTAACGTGCACGTAATCGATATGGACACTATTGATTTGTCAAATCTGAATCGTCAATTTTTATTCCGCAAGAAGGACGTAAACAGTTCCAAAGCAGAAGTCGCCGCTAAGTTTATTAACGAACGAGTACCCACATGTCACGTTACGCCTCATCATTGTAAAATACAAGACAAAAACGAAGACTTTTACAGACAGTTTCATTTTGTCGTTTGTGGTCTCGATTCTGTAGTCGCCCGACGGTGGATTAATGGTATGCTTGTGTCTTTGTTGTCATACGACGAAAATCAACAGCTTGACAATTCTACTATAATACCATTGATTGACGGTGGAACTGAAGGTTTTAAAGGCAATATTCGTGTTATACTACCAGGTATCACACCATGCATTGATTGCACACTGGATTTGTTCCCACCGCAGGTAATATATTTAATGTTGATTTGAATATTCATAATTATTATTTGGTTTATAAGTAGCTTTACATCATAACCAAATATTTATTACATAAATAACTCACTTTAAACTATCAACTACCTATCAGTTTTAAACATAAAGTAAAAATATATTTTACTTTTAATGGTTGAGTTGTGTTTTTAAGTGACTATATGTATTATTAATTGTATGTTAAATGATTATAAAAATTAAATTTAACGCTTAGAGAGTTACTAATGACTACAAAATTTTGATAGATAGTCTAAAATCTTGGTTTTAGCACAGTGCATAGTTATATTGGTATCTTTGAGCAATACATGTACAATTTATTATAGCAATACACAATTATATGTTGATATAGGTACTTATAGGTACTATAGGTACAATTAAATATAAATTATATAATTAACATATACCAATTTACAATAAGTTGGGTTAGAACCGAAAGAGAAAATCAAAAAAGTTTGTTTAAAATTGGTTTTACTTGTATTGTCTATTAAAAGTTAATACAGCTTTCCAAGCATTTTTGACTTATGGCATACTTTTCGAATAAAGGTTTTTTTCTCTGGACACCCTTGACAATAATTGTAAACCAAAATCAATTCTGAGTAGACTAGTAACTAGTATTAATTGCGGTGTTACTCCTATTGTATTGTATTGTATAGCCATGTTAACCCTACAGAAATTGACTAAACTGTTGAGAATCAAGATATTATTTTAAAAATTAAACACCATCAGGCAAAACATCCGCATATTTTAGGGTATAAGTAATTAATTTAGGGCATTTATACTAAACAAAAAAATTGCTACATCAAAAAAGTAAAAGCACTAAGTATTAACATAAATTATTATGTGTGATGTATGAAAAGACAATAAGGAAAACTCTGAATCACAATTTTTTAAAACATTCATGTATTTTATTTATTTTTAACCTTAATATTTATGCATTATAAAAAAAGTTACACATTCATATTATATTATAAAAATTGGTATACTTATATAAAATCAAGTCAAATATTGGGTACTAGGTACAGCAAAAATTAATAAAGGATATTGAGGGATCAGACGTTATTGTGTTGAAATTATTTTTTTTTTTTTTAAATCTTATTTTCAATATTTAACATTCAATTAATCCCTAAAAACCAAATTAAGTTAAATTTGTTAACTAATTGGCAATTTAAAAAAAAAAAAAAAAAACCATTTAAACAAATTATTTAATGAACCTTTTCATGTAACATAAATGTGTAGAAAAATATACAAGAAACTTACTATAAAGTCTGCATAAATGTTTCTGCTGTATTTGTATATAAATCCTTGTTAAACTGGCACAATTTACCAGAACCTGGTTTATTTTGTGCTAGGAGAATTATTATTTTTTAATGTATTAATTAATCAAGTTCATCTGAATTAATTAATTTATTGTTATGAACAAAACTACAAATTCTAAAATTAAATTATTAACATAGTTTATAATACAATTTCTCAAAAAGAAAACCAGCCAGGTAATCCAGGCCGATTTCCTTGTTTTTTCAAAAAATCCTTATACATATCATCACTTATTTTGCTGGATTTTGCGTCATCTTTGAGGCGTTTTTTTTGTTCTTCTGAGGAACATATATCAGGAAATTCAAATTCTTGATCTCTAGGCTAAAAGTAAAAAACAATTTACATTAGTACTAATAAAACGTAATTTAAAAAATGTATTATATTTACTAGTGTAACAAATGCTCTTCGAAAGTCATCTTCTTTTACAACTGGTCCATATTTGTTATAAATTGCTCTTTTAAGTTTACCTATTATATTATAATAAGATAATTTTAATTTAATTTATTTACATTCATAAGTAGATATTTTCATTAAAAATCTTACCGTTTTCAATTTCTGATTCGACTTTAATAATATTAATTTTATAAATTTTTTCTAAATAATTCCGAATATCATAATTTGTCATTCCAGTAGGCACTATAAATTGAACTACATTTTTAGGTTGCTTTTCTTCTGGCCGTACTAGTTTCATCCAAAAATTTGGTAAAAAAATACGTAATTGAGGATTACCACGTTGATAAATAGGATACCTATACAATTATAATAAAAGTTATATAACTCAAACATTAAAATATGAAATTGACTTAAATTTTTTAAATCATTGGTTTTCAAATTGTGATTTAATATTTGATACTTAATTATTTAAAATAAATTGACATACAATTTTGAAACAAAGAGCATTACTAAGGTGATACTTACTACTGTAAGTATCACTTTTGATAATTATGGTAATAATGGACTTTTGGTGAATATGCTAGCATTTAAAATTAAAATCATTAGTTTTGATTATTGGCATATAACTATATATTAAAAGCTTTGTAAACTAAATTATTTGAGAATCGTTTGTCTAATTATGAATTGATGTACAAACTTATTGTGTATTTACCATCTAGTAGACATGATGTTTTTACAAATAATCAACGTATCTATTAAGTATGAAAAATAATTATTTCACTTCCAATAAACTAATAGTTAAAATAAAAAATGAATAAATAAGTTATTTGATATGTGGGATAACCATAAAATAACCGTGTTATCACAAATATATATTGTCTTATGTAATATTTTGTTAAGCTGGTTGTAACGTATACGTAGCGAGGGGGGGGAATTGCCGCTTACATAACCTAAATTTTCAACCCGATTCCTGTGTAAGGATTAAAGAAAAGTGTCCTAATCATAAATTGCATAGAGTAACAAAGGATCCAAACAAAATTCAAACTTAAATTGGAAAAAATTATTTTTACAGAATGGTATTTTAGACAATAATATTTTATCCGAAATTTAATTCTCGAACATATAGCGACCACAGAAAAGCGGAACTATATTATTTTTAATAATGGTATGATAAATGGTTAACACCTGATAATATTCCGGTGGCAATCATAGATAATAAAATAATGGATATGCCTTGTCACAGACGTATTATAAAATAATAACAATTTTTTATTTGTATGTATATTTTCTTTTATTGTTAGTTATTTTATATGTCTGGGCCCAATAGAATCGATTATTTTATCAACGTGGGATACGCCATACGTCTGGCACGGTCCAGATTTCCAAAATGCAACATGAAAGTCACTACACGTCTACTTTAGGCGATTTGTTTACAAAATGTAAACCGTGATAACGTACTATCAGACGTACCATAGACGTAGAGTTTAAAAACACGGTCAAATAACTAAACATGTTTGTCACACTATAAGCTTCTTCGCTCCATTCAAAATCTAAAATACGGTAGATTATAATATTTTCGCCTAAAATATTCCACGAAATTATCCATCTGATAATTTTGACGCAATTTCCAAACAATAATCTTACAATTTGTTTAGAAAAAGATTATATTCAATTATATAATATAATAGAATGGTTCACTCTTAAGTTTTTTTGGGAATTTTATTTCTGATTACCAAGTGAATGAATTTATTAAATTTAGAAAACCTGAAACTAGAACACACAAATAAAGTGGTGACTTAAGCTAAAATTTCTTTTTAATGATTTATTTATTATTATTTATTGAAAATTAAGTATGTAATTTGGATTCTGATGGGCCACTGTTGGATTAAACTTCCACTCACTAAAAAAGTTGACTTGAAAATAAAAAAACCATAATAGTAATTTTCTGTAAATTGCAAATTAATGTTTTTTTCTACGACAACTCAAATAGCAACTACAATAAACCATTTTTTAAAACACCATCAGATTAAGTATTAAAAAACACATTGATTGGATCATGAACTGACTTAATCTGATTTGATTTTAATCACATTTATTTTACTTTTGTTCAATAATATTATTGATTAACAATTATTATTTTTCCAATTAAATTCAAAATAAGAATTTAAAATAAAAGACTACATAAACTTATTATTACATATGTTCTAATGTTTAAGTTCGACTCAGCATAATACTGTAATAGGTAACTGTCTGTTTAATTTTTTATTTAATTTTGTTCATAGGTGACTTATCCATTATGTACTATAGCAAGTACACCTCGTTTACCAGAACACTGTATAGAGTATATCAAGCTAATACAATGGCCTAAAGACAATCCATTTGATTCTAACATAGATACAGATGACCCAGCTCATATAAGTTGGATCTATGAAAAGTCTCTTGAACGTGCTGATGAATTTGGTAAGCGTTTAAGCAAAAATTGACCTACCTAGTTAAATTATTTTTCATTGAGTATTTTGTAATTATTTATTCTAGGAATAAATGGAATTAATTATCGTCTGGTGCAAGGAGTAATTAAAAATATAATACCGGCAGTCGCATCGACAAATGCTGTGATAGCTGCAGCTTGTGTTACTGAGGCTTTCAAAGTTGCCACTAGCTGTTGTCCTTTATTAAATAATTACGCTGTATTTAATGATGCAGATGGTATATATACATATACATATGAAGCAGAACGTAAATCAGATTGTATAACTTGCAGTCCGACAACAGCAAAGTATCTCGATATTGATGACACAAATGTGCGATTGGAGAAAATAATTGAAATGTTAAGTGAACATCCACAATATCAGATGAGAAATCCTGCACTCACAATAGAATTGGAAGAAAAGAGGAAAACACTGTATATGCCTAATGTACCTTCCATCGAGTTAAAAACTAGGCCAAATTTAAAAATGACATTAGAACAGTTGGGCATCGCTGATGGTTGTAAGCTGTTAGTTGCCGATATAACAAATCCTAGGGCTTTTGAAATTATACTCAGAATTAAAAACAACTATGTTAATATGGAATAATATAACTTAAAATATTTAATTGAAAATAATTATGCAATACTTCCTCTAATAAAATGATGCAATATTTATTAATATAATTTTATTTTGTGTAATATAGAATGTATCGAGACACTCGGTAGAAAAATATGAAACTTTTCTTATGGATTGGATATGTATACTATCATTTTGGAATACCTATTCACCTAGTATTTATATTGTTTATAACACAGAATGATAATCTTTATAGATCATTCTTTTGTGTTATAAGAGATAGAAATACAGGATCAATATTGGTGCTATACTAAAACTCAGTTCTTTATTACCCTTAATAAAAGCGACTGACCATTCTCATGTTGTAAATTATCACCCTATTGCTAATCTCTGTCATGTATCAAAGGTATTTGAAATTTTAGTTCTTCTCTCTATCCAATTAAAAGTTAATTCATTTTTGATAGATGAACTACACGGATTTGGACCAGGTCGATGATCTATTATTTGCAATATTGTATTTAGCTTTTTTATTTTTTAATCATTCGTTCAGCATTCTCAAGTGGACATTATCTACACTGGTTTTTCAAAGGCCTTTGATCGAGTAAACCATGACATTATGTTCAAGATCCTATCTGACTCTGGTTTTGGTGAACTTATTCTCTCTTAGTTCTCATCCTATCTATCAAATTAAAATAATAATAGTTCAGTGCATAATATGTGTACATATTGACGAGGGTTATGGATTTCCTATCATAATTTATTGTACATTAGATTTGTCATTTTAGGAAGTGTATAATATTACATTCTAGGACTCTAGGATTTTGTTACCGGCTAGTAGTATAATTATTTTAGGAAAGCCATTCTAAGATTTTGGTACTAGAGCCTAGAGGTATGATAATCTTTGGATAATCTTATTATGGTATGATAATCTGGGGGTACAATCTGCCTGTTACATTTGTAGTTATACTATGATATATTTTTTTTTTATTATACTGTTTACAAAATCTCTACTAAAAATCTTGTTCCAATCAAAACATGACAAGATAAATTTTTTGTTGCATTTAATTTGTTGTTAGGTATTTTTAGAAAACAATTTTTTGAAAATTCTCATTAAAATTTGATATGATGAATAAAAACTGGCATTTTGGGTTAAAATTAAAAATAAGATTGTCATCGGCAATTGTTTTTATTACTTGAAAATTTTTTACCTTTTTTAAATTATTGTTATTGTGAAAACACACAATTTTGAAAAAGCAATATTATTTACTGAGCTCTGTTCAGGATCGTTTTTCGTTTTAATGATTAATAGTTGCATACAAATGCAAATTAAATTCGACGAACTGAGACCCATTTTATGATTTTTAGGTAAATAAATTGAGTCTCTCAGTACCATTCATGTTTATATAATACTTGCATGAATATAAGGAACTGGATTTAATTTTTCTAAATTTTATGAAACCAAAATTTATAACTATTAAAAATAAAAATGTTAATATTTTATTCACTTTTCATTATTTCCATTACAAAATTGATATAGGTATGTATATTATATTACTCGCGAGTCGCAATAACTGAAAAGATCACGACTGCTCGTATAGGTAATCTTGAAAACTATTCATATAATAAACAGTAGACGGGTAATTCCGTCTCGCGTGTAATATAGGTAGTCGGTATTTCCCAAATTCGATAAGTATAAGAAAAAATAGTATCTAATACGCGACATATAAGTAACAATCTACAAAAATGCGTTCTGTCTGAAATGACGTACTTTGTCTGTTATTGACTGATAAATATGTACGATGTAATTCCGTAAAAATGTATTTATGTTATTAAAAATAACAGTATTTGATCATAATTCAAACGTGAATCAATTTACCGGTTTCACTTTTGTACGAGGAACGCAATTTGCCGAATTTGGAAAACGATAAATTCGTTTGGGACTCAATTTGCCAACGCCCAAATTCCCCTCTATATACATGATACTACTTCCTCAAATTCTCATTCAAAACAGTGGCGAAACCGTGGTGCAAAGTATGTCCATCCGTATTTAAAATTGCGTTTTCTTTTTAAACATAAATAAATTAGTTACATAATTACTATAAAGTATAACCAATTCAAAACACCTATAAATTATTACTTTGTATCCAGTCCAAAAACAACACGTAAATTGGTACGGAAGTTTCGGAGATTACCGTTAGAAAAAAAAAAAATATATACACAAAAATACCGTCCAAATTTCCGGTATATTTTCTAAAAAAATTTCTTTCATACAAACCAGTGGGTTACGGAGGTCGGGGTCTAGAGGGTCTGGACCCTCCCAAACCCTGATATAATTTTAATAAAATGTCGTCTAAATGAGAAATATCTATTAATAGAGATTCCTTTTAAATACATATTATTTTTCAGGACCTCTCCCAGAAAAATATTGAAAATCCAATGCAGAACCTTTATTTTTATATTTATATAAATTGTTGTTATGTAAACATATAACAGAAGAACTGAACATCTATAATTGAATTGTTATTGTTGATTACAGGTTGCCTTGGTGATAAGGATGAAAAAAAATGTAATGAGAGATATCCAAATTTACGACTTTTCCAAAAATACATAAAAACCTTGTTCTGAACTACGAAATATTAGCCAAATCGGCAATCCGTTTTCAAGTTATGCGCTTACTAACCAAAATAAACATTAATTTATACATATAAATATAATACATTATAGATAGTACACGGGGTGATTTCCGTGGTTTTCAATTTTTTATGTAGATATATTATTTACTTTATACACGATGTACATAATATAATAAGTAAAATATTAAAATATTATTATATTCGTTTAAAATAAAGTTATATTTCCTTTGATTAATAATTTTGAAAACAATTATAAATAATATAACAAAATTAATATTAAAACAATGTAAGACATAGTTTTATAATTCAATAGTGCCTAAATCTTAAAAATAATATTAAAAGGTATACCAATAATAGAGATAAAAATATATTATGCCCCCAAAAAATAGATCGGTACCAATATAAAAAGGTACTTAATGGATATTCTGAAATTTTATTTCTTGTAACTGTAGTAACCTTCACCGGTCTTGGTTCCCAATTTTTTCTCGTCTACCAATTTCTGTAAAGACTTCAATGGTTCAAACAACGGATTCTCTGGGAATTTGTCATGCCATCCGTTTATAATAGAATTGGTAGTATCGTGTCCAACATAATCTGCCAATTCAATTGGTCCCATGGGATGTCCAGCACCCAATTTCATGGCTATATCGATATCCCTAGGAGAAGCATCGCCTCTTTCTAACATCCTGATTGCTTCAGCCATCAACGGCAAAAGGAGTCGGTTGACTACGAATCCGGGGGTGTCTTTACAAGTTATAGTAGTTTTGCCGATGGCTTTTCCCCAGGCCATAAGTTTTTGGTACGTTTCATCAGAAGTTTCTGGGGTCTTGACGACTTCCAGTAGTTTCATCACTGGTACGGGGTTGAAGAAATGTAGGCCGGCGAATCTATCCTTCCTGTTTGAGACGGACGCGATCTCACTAATAGACAGTGACGATGTGTTAGAAGCAAATATAGTCTTCTTTGGAGCGACTTCGTCGATAGATTTGAATAGCTTATGTTTAACCGACAGGTTTTCGACAATAGCTTCCAACACCAGATCGGAATCCTGAACGACATTGGGCAGATCGGTCGATGTGCTGATCCTCGAAAGTGCTTCGGATACGAAAGCATTGGCATCGTTGGGATTTTCCTTGAATGTCTTTTTGGCGATCCGTTGCAAACTATTCTCGATGCTCTTGTACGTTTTGTCCAAGACGCTTTGGTTGAGTTCTACGATGGTTACGTTGTGTCCACTCTGGGCGGACACTTGTGCAATCCCTGAACCCATCAGTCCACCACCGACCACGGTAACATTTTTGATTGCCGCGCGGGCAACGACGGACGTTGAAAAATTTCTAGAGATCACATTAATACACGACATTTTTGAGATTTGTTCAAAATATTTAACTTAAACGATTAAAATATAAAATTAAACGATGAACACGGAAGAGGAAATACGATAAATTTAATTATGTACTTTGGTCTTTGGCACAAACAACAAGTGAGACGTGGAGACGTGACAACATTGAACGACTACAGGAAACTTTCTTTTACAAATGCCAATAGGTAATCGAATATGATTATTAATATTCAATGTTATCACTTTACCAGCTGTACTGTTCACGGTCATTTCTCTTTATCATTTACTTATTATCAGTTCTAGACAGATAATATACCTATGGCCGTGGATCACAGATAAAAAGATGAAGTTCGTGTCGTTAATATATTTTCCATACACATAAATAATATATTTTATAACCTAAATTTCCAACCAGGTTCTAGCGTAAGGATTGAAGAATAGTGTCTTAATCCTAAATGCATTAAGAAACGTAAGAAACGCGTAAAAAATTCAAACTTACATCTGCAAAAATTATTTTTGCCGAACGGTGTTATAAGACAAAAGTATTTTATCCGAAATTTAATTTCCGAACATATAGTGACCCTAGAAAAGCGGAACTAAATTATTCCTAATAATTGTGTGATAACAAATGGTTAACACCTAGATAATATTACGGTGGCAATCATAGATAATAAAATATTGGATATGGCTACGAATTAAGATAATAATAGGATACACTATCACTTATCAGTTGTTATGAAAACTTTATTCGTTCTTGAGTTGACAGGTAGCGCTTAAAGGTGACAGTGACGAATTTTGTACTGATTATATGATATCCATTATCAATAAAATCGTAACATGGAATTCCGAATTTGGCATTCATACAAATTAGATAATAGGTAAAATACTTTTATTCCTGTTATATTTTTCTACGCAAGAAATATGTATAACTAGTATTCTTATATAAAATAATAAACAATCTATGTACCTATATTGTAGGTATTCCTAACTATTAAATTAATTATTAACTAATTTAGAGAGGTTTTTTTAACCTTGTTTTTGATGATAAATAAAATAAGAAGTATGTCGTCTCTTTCTCATTGTAATATAAGTAGTGAATATATACTTAGCCATATAATTTTTATATTCAAAACACCGAAATAGAATCAAATAATTAAATTTAAATTAAAATCATCAATGTCTTTGAATACATTTTGACTATTAACATGTTTGGAAAATTACATCTCATTAAATATGTTTAATAAGTATAAAAAAAATTGTTTTCAGGGTGAATCAAAAAACCTTAAGATTTTAAATTGATTATTTGGGCAGTTACTGTATTACAACTGTTTTCTGGATTTTGTTATGCCCGATAAACAAATTGACAATTTGTTTTTTTACTAGGTCATTTTTTTATCTATTAAATTAAAACTAATATTATTTAGTTAACTTAAAATAAATCTATAATATTTATCCGCAGAAAATATTTCAACACAATATAAATTTCACTACACACTCAAAAGTAGCATTGTCATAAAAATTATATTCCTTGAAGATGTTATTACATAAGAAAACTCTTTACCGATTAATTTGCTCAGTCATACAATTGGACCGGAGCAAAAGGAAAAAAAACCTTTATTATTTTATACTAGTCTAAGATAATCAATGGTAAGATAATATAATTGATGCTTAATTTTTTTAACAGCATTTATATAAATGCTGTTTTCAAAAATGCCAAAGATTTAAAAGAATCTGGCATTATAACTTGTATCAAAAACTGGATGAACCATGCAGAAGCTAGATTTTATTAAAAATAAATGAATGCAGTGTGTTAAATTTGTTGTTATTTATAAAAATAGTAATTCAATACAATTAGATAAACATTTTCTATTATTTTTTCCTGTATACCTAAAAAAAAATATCTTAAGTCACCATCCACTGGATATATAATACATATACTGAAGTATATAAATAATAACTTGTGGTTATTCATTAGGATTTGATAATATAAAACATCTCATGAATAACTTCTACAAATAACTAATGGATATTGACATAGCATATCCAAAAATGCCAAAAAAACGGACATTTGGATAACTTCTAGATTTTACCATTGGAAGTCATAAATATTTAATAATTAATATTATGGATATCTGAAAATTACATCCACTATATAACCATTGGATATATTGGTGTATAAGCATCAATATCCCATCGACCATCTTCTACGATAGTATTTAATTAAGTTTTTAGTTTTAAAAATTTTTTCTCTCTCATTTATAAATACAGTAATATCCCTTGTCGTCATTATTAGTTATGGACTAAGGACCGTTGGGAATCAATAGTTTGCCGATAACAGGGTCACGTGTATCCTGTATATCTTAATTCGTGTATAGGTCTAATCACAGTTCACAGTAACATTTTATATATTTATATATATTATTGTAATATGTTGTTAGTTATTTTATGTCTGTGGGCCCAATAGAATGGATTATTTTATCATTGTTAGATACGTCGGGCACGGTCCAGATTTCCAAAACGCGACTGTCATTATCATTGTCACATTAGGCGATTTATTTACATTTTGTGATGGCACCGTGATAACGTACTATCATACGTACTATAGACGTAGAGTTTAAAAATAAAGGTAAGATAATGGGGACGGGTGCAGCCACTGGTGTAAGTGGGAAGTCGGTAAGGTAGGATGGATATAGGGACGGGAATTGAATGTAAATCTGTAAGCAACTATAAACCATTGCTTACGAAAAAAATGTTTTGGTTACCGGCGAGTGGTACAATTATTTTAGGAAAGCCATAGGTACCACCGTTACATCATTTTAGGAGTTGGATGTACCTATCCTAGAATTATGGTATTAGAGCCTAGAGATATGATAATCTTCGGATAATCTTACTGTGGTATGATAATCCGGGTGTACGATTTGCCCGTTACACTGCGATTCAAATTCTATTTTAATATTAACAGAGATATTAATCATTGGGAAAACAGTGAGACACTTTGTATAACTGTTAAAACTGATAAAATAAAAAGTTCCACGGGGTCCGTGCCTTCCTGGTTACGGCACGGCACTGCGATTAGCTCAACGAGATTTTCTCAGTACTCAGTAGCCAATCCGATCCCGTAACGGTTCTACATGGAACGCGTTCATTGGTGTTTTGGTTCGATGTAGACAGCTTTGAAGCTTCGGAGCTCCGTGATTCCACAGCTCTAGCACATTTTTCGCCGGGCTTCGGTTGCGACTTGTGAGCGTTAAGCTTGTCCGCGTATAGTATAATATTTTATTGTGTAGTGTTTTTTTTTTTTTTTTTGCCGCGGTGTCATTAGAGTTCGTAATTTTTTTTCCGTTTTTTCTGCGGCCAATATTTTATTAAATTAAAAAGTGTCGTCGCTAATATTATTGTGTTGGTATACTGGTGTTCTTTGTCAAACCTCAAGAATGAAAAATTTCGGTGTCAAATATGCAGCGCCATTAGAGACTGTGACGGTGAGTTCTCAAATTGTTTACATTTTAACCTCTACAACTCTAGTATTCTAGTCACTATTAAGAAATACACACATTTCAAAAAAACGAGTTCACTTTTACGTAGGATCGTTTGTGTTCCAAACAGAGAGCACCATTGTGATGCTGCAAGTAGCGCATTTAAAATATATGCATCCCCGGACAAAACTCTTTAATTGCCTCCCTCTTCCCTATAAAATATTTCACCCACTAATCTTCACCTCAGGCTTTCCCTCCCCATTCCAATTACTGATAAATGTGTCTCTTGCTTTTTTTGAATAACATTTTAAAATGTATATCCTAGGGTTTAACAAATTTACAATTTTTTCAAAGTGTTTTATATTCAAAAAAAAATCGTACCAAATAATGACATAAGTAAATTTTATAAGTTATCAGTCGTTTCACTCATATTACATTCAGCTCAAAATCATTTGATACGATAATCTGTTATCACGAATTACTTATTATTTGGAGGTGCAAAGTGTAGACAGCACGTGTAGAAAAAAGTTTATACAAAAGGCGATCGTTATCGACATAAAATCACTCATAGTCCTTTTATACAATAGCGCTTACGATTACCTATAACTTGAAAAAATAAAATCATAGATTAATCAATCTATGAAATACAAACTAAAGAAATCTGTTACAAACATTTAAATTTTTTAGGTTTTTTTTTTTCTTTAAAAAATTGTTTTGCGGAGGATAACTCAACTTTCCCTGTGCTTACAGTAGAGGTACAAAAATTAAAACCACATAGCAAAGAATTTAATCTGTGTTCTAGCATGCTAATTTATAACTTAACCAATGATGCTATTAAGTGTTATATTATTTGTGATAAAAACAAAAATTAATACTTTCAAAAAAACTGCCGCTCCTAAATCTGTTAACATTTTGACGCTGGGGTCATTCGCCCCTTCGACCCCCCCTCTAAATGCGTCACTGGGTATTGGAATGACCACATCGCTTACTGTAGGCACTAGGCACCAAACTTTTTGTTTTCTTATAAATTTGAGCATAGGTACTTTATGAAATACGAGTACCTATAATAACACAACGCTAAATATTAAATAAATAGTAGGTATGTAGCAAGTGCTTGTGAAGGCGCAAACAATTTTAATTTGCGGTACAGTACAATTTTATTCAACCCACTTACCCCTGAAATACTGATGCCGAAACAAAATTGTCGACATTCATGTTGTTATAATGTTATTATTCATTTAATTTCATTATCATTGATATTCCGGATATTTACCCCCCCCCTCTCGATTGTTTTTGGTGTACAGTAGAAATTCGAATACTCGATTTATCGTCAGTCACTGGACTGGGACTATGATGGCTAATCGAATACACGGTTAACACATATTTTGCAATAGACGTGTATATTTTACAACGTCCGAATTTGCAGACAAAAATAATGAAATAATAATTACAAAAATAATAACATACTAAAAAATACCAAACAAAATAATTCATCATCTTTTTTTTTTTTTAGGCATGAGCTTTTTGAGAGGCAACGTTGTATTTTACAAAGAAGTAAAACGGTGACCTATGACGGATAACAGATGTTAATACCTGAGTTTCTACTGTAGTTGGACATCCCCCCTCAAAACATTTTTCGATGTGTACATTCTCATTCGGATATTATAAAATTATATTATTTATTATTTAAGTAATATGAAATTATTATTATTTTTTTTTTACAATTTGAATAGTTATTTAACAATATAATAATTTCTTGTGAATTTGATCTCTAAAGTTAACTTAATTACTAAACCACTACTAAAAGCTTTTAATAGTTTTAAGATGAAAGATTGTATAATAATGTTGGAACCTATTTTAATAGTATGGTTCTGGACATTTATATTTATAAATAGATTTACAAGGGTAGCTACCTAATACTGTACTTTAATAGAATCCACTAAATTGCAATGAATTTTTGAAAAAATATTGTGATTTTATAAGCCATGTATATTATTGGCAAATAGAAAATGATAAAAAATATATAAAAAAATAATAATTTCATAATAAATTATACAATTTTATAATTTTTGAATGAAAATGTTTAGATCAA